AATCTTTGCAAAGACGTCATGTAAATACCACCCTTTTATTTGTTCAATTATGTGCACATTGCTTGTTAAATGTATGAAAGTGATTGCAAGCCTTTGTTGTTTGTTTTCACAATTATAACCATTACTATTATCCATATGTTGTAAAGCGCCTTAGAGTAATTTTACAAATTATATAGGGCGCTATATAAATGCTGTATATTATTATTATTATTAATATTCTAAGTGTCGTTTGGGCTCTGAAAAATGGTTTCCCATCAATCCCATACAATTTATTCTGAAAAAGCGTTTTTTAAAAGACTTAGGACTATTGTAGATCTATATGATACACCATTACCTAGACAAGGTTTTTAACTTCGCGGTCAGTGGACTATATTCTGGATCACACCTACCTAGAACGAGACCTCTTCTTCTTTTTTGATTTTCTGACACTGTGTGTTGGTGACCTTCTACTGGATTTTGAGGAGCTTTTAGAAGGTGATGGTGATCGTGACCTCTTCACTGATTTTGACCTTCCAGGAGATAAAGAAGGATTTACCCTGTATCTTGGCGACTTTGATCTGTCTTTCCTGGGAGGACTTTGTGTCCTTAGTATAGGTCTTCGGTGAGGTGACTTTGATGATGACCTTTAAAAATTAGAAGATTTGAAGTCAGTCACTGGATGATCAATTAACATTTAATTTAGATAATTATGCACTGTTTGGTGTTCTTATTTGGTATCTTCTTGCTTAATGTATAATGGTAATTGTAAGCTTGTTTTTTTTTAAAACAATTATAACTAATACTATAATCCATATGTTGTCAAGCACTTTAGAGTAATTTTACAAAATATATAGGGCACTTCATAAACTGTAGCCCACAATTACTCGGCGGAGATACAGTGGCCTTGTCTTTAGGAAACACTTGATGTTTACCTTCTACTTTTAACATAAGCACTTAGTGGTATTGGGGAGCGTTTCCTCCTGGGAGACTTTGATCTAGATGGCGGGCTTGGTGACTTGCGTGACCTTGAGGGTGGAGATGAGCCTCTTTCTCGAGACTTTTTAGATGACTTTGAGGACCGGTCCGAGTAGTCGCTGAGTCGGTCTTCCTCCTGAGTAATAGGTGTTTGTGAACGGCTGCCTATAGGTGTACCTGTTGACCCTGTTGAATGCAAATATTTCCCCATATCAAAACAGACACTAACTAGAACACTGACAGGTCAACAAGAGCCTTGTCATGTGTCTGACAATACCCCCTCTCTCCTTTTTGTTTTGATAAACAGTGATCTTGTCATAAGAAACTTTTTAAGCCCTTTTGGCACATCTTCATATTACAGTGTATCACCTTGTCAAAACAAGTGGCCCAATGGGCCTACATCGCGCACCTGGTATTAATCTCACAATTGTAACCTTGAAAGTAAAGCTTAAATAAAGCTACAGGCAAAATATCAGTGTCTTGACTTAAAGTAATTCCGAAGAATCTGTTAAACGATTAAAACAAATTTACCCCTGTGACCTTGAAAGTCAAACCTAGACATGAACTATAAATAGCCCTGCATCCCAGGTGCAACTTGCCAAATAAAACCACCCTATACATTTTGTTTATTGAGAAAATGACTTTTACTTGAGAAGATTTATGCACTATGGACAAAATGTGACCATGAAAGTGTGTCAAGGTCATTCACATGAACAAGCAATAACCCTGTAGGCTTTAGTTATTCAGAAGAGGTCGTTTATAAGATTTCAACATATTTGACCCCTGTGACCTTGAACAAACATGGTAGCCTTTCATCCCAACATCCTTCTGACCAAATATCATCACCCTGGACCTGTTGGTTATATGTACAGAAGAAGTTGTTTAAAGGTTTTTAAGACAAGTGACCCCTGTGACCTTGAATATGGGCTAAGGTCGTTCATTTGATTAAACTTGGAAGCCCTTTGTCCAAGCATGCTACTGGCCAAATTTCATCAGCCTGGGCCTCTTAGTTATTCAGGAGAAGTTGTTTACGTTGACGCCGGACGGATGACGGACGCCACACCATGGCATAAGCCTAAAAATCAGTCTTTTGGATTCCAAGAAAGGAATATCCCAAACAGTCTATTTTTAAGTATTAATGACCTTGACCTTTTACAACCCTTTTGCACATTTCTTATCAAAGTTAATCGCCATGTAAAATTCGAACTTAGAATTATAATATTATTTCGGGAAATGAAAGTGCGAACGTACAGACAGAGAGATCTATGGACACTAATTACTATAGGGCACCTGCATTTCGTATGTGGAGCCCTTACATAACAGTAGAATGTACCTTTAGAAAAATAATACTTCTAAAGTCAAACAATGCTTGTGTTCAGTTTTCTTCCATTCATATCTTCAAACCAGTAACATATATTAACACACATTCAGCTGATCTACCTCAATTCAAAGAAGATATATTTTGTTAATTTCCTGCTCACCTGATTCCTCCATGTCACGCTGATCATCAGCTGCTGAGGTGGTGGAAGTGGTTACATTGGTAGATTTAAGCATGTTGATAAACATGGCTGCCTTGCGCTTCCTTTCGGCCTGCATCTGTTTCTCTTTGTTAGCCTGGACTAGCTTCTCACGTGCTGCAGCTGCCATACGGTCCTTCAAACGCTCCTCAGCTACAATACAAGCCAACTTACAATGTCACCTGGGAAATTATCCAGATTTAAATATGTTTCACAACATAAAAGACATTGCAGTTTTTTCTTTCCTAATAACTTTAAACTTATTATTTTAATTTGAGGACATTATCAACAGCTACTAATATATCAAGTAGATCTTGATAATAATAATATATTTCATATTTAAAGGATACAAAAGTTTGTACAAATGAAATTGAATATTACAAACATTAAAAAAGGTTAACACAATTTAATCTTACCCTCACACTAAAACATCAATTATTAACAGTTATTAACATCCAGCTTATCTTCTACAGGTTTCAAAAGACTATATATCTGTTATATATCACATTAATGACACTTCTTTCCGTCCAAATGACTACTTCAAACAACAAAACACATGTATACATACCTTAATGGGCTATACATTTATAACAAGTTGAGATCGACCAGTAAGCCACTTATATCTTCAAAACATAAAAAAGGCCTCAAGCAACATCTTTTTTCATCAATTATCTTAAACCTTCTTTTAACAGTTACACTTCAACAACTTTTGAAATGAATGCTTTGGTAGTTCTGTATTTCACTTATGCTTACCATTCGTAAAGATTATAAAACTACCCATTACACATTCATTGAGATTATAAAAGTACTCCCCCTATGTGGTGAAATGTATAAAGTTTGATCAAGAGCAAAGAATCACCTCTTTTGTATACTCACCCTGTTTTCGTTCTAACTTCTCGATCAACTCTGCCCGATCAACTTTGTTCTCTGCCCTAGAATATTCCGCCCGAGGCTGTTCTGCCCTTGAATAATCTGACCTTGAAGTATCTGACCTTGAAGTATCTGGTCTTGTATTTTCCATCAACATGAAATCTGCATCAACAGGTGTGGATGTCCCTGATAAGTCTGACTTGTATAGCTTGTCCCGATCACCTGCAGACAAGCATATGTCATCTTTTGATCTGTTATTTTAAAACACATTAAAGCTTTCTATCCATACTCTCACTGCCTTCACTTGCAAATTCATGTCCTTTTTACAGTTAAAGTGGATCTGATATTCTGCTTTTCCTGAAAAAGAGCTCTTCTTTAACAATTTGAAACTGAGTTTTTCACTTTCAATACTTTTTAATTGAAAGAATAGAACATTTTAAGTTTATTTTTGGACATTAAGGTTCCATACCTTCTTCATCACTGCTATCATTATCAAACACCTGACGTTTTTCCAATGAAGCACTTTCCTGTTCCCGAGGCTTGCCTTTGATGCTGAAGCTCACCCCTTTAGGCCGTTCCTTTTCCAAGCGCCTCTTCTCTTTGGCTGTCTCCTGTCAAGCAGATGACAAAATGAAAGATCTGGTATGGATAAAGGTATTGTGCAACAGGTTTACATAATATAATTTCAAAACAGATGTTTATATATTAGTTCATTTTCTTCCAGGGAGGAATATTAATAGGTACTTTAATATGTGTTTAAATCTATGTATTTTGATACAAGTGTACGTGTATGTATCTAACACAGGCATATATATATGAGAGGTCTCTTACAGTGTACAGTAGAAAAAAACTGATTACTTACTGTGATATGGATATTTTTCTTGAAGTTGTAGTATGGGAAATGGACATGGTAGGATTCCAAGAATGCAAATCTAGGATCGTTTTTACTTTTCACAACAATTTCAAACTCCACCCCATTCTTGGCAACATACATTGCCATTCTGTCTATGACAGGCTGAAGGTCAGGTGGGGGTGGAACAATCTGTGGAGCACCAGGTATGCTAAAGGAATCCCTGTTAACACAACATACACAATCATTGTATAAATTAAATATCCAATAATGTATATGAATATATGAGAACATGATTATAATAAACAACAGGGCTGATTTGTTGTATGGGGTTTAATGTTATAAACAGCTAAGGTCACTTAAGGACGTGCCTCCATGTGTGTTGTGTATGGGTGCATGTGTGTATGTGTGCCGGAGGAAGTCTGTTCATAATTTGTTAAAGACTGAGTTTGATACAATTTTTTGCAAAGAATTTTGCTTTAAGCAAGAATCTTCAGTAGCATCTAAACGTTTTAGTCAACATGATGACTGTATATTTAAAGGTGATCTTAAATTCCTATTGTAGACATGGGCACTTTTTAATCTAAAACAAAACAGTCCATACATATAACATTACCTTGAGGAGCTGTCTTCACTGGCCGGACTGTCCTGGCTGAGGTAGATGTTACCATCCACATCTGTCCCTGGGGGTGGGGGTGGGGGCTGGTGTGCGGACGGGAGAGTGACAGGCTCCAGCCCCGGCGGGAGGGGCAAACTTGAGTTGGAAGTGCCATACTCTGGTAGAGACATGTAAGGAGGCAGTGGGGGTGGCTGTATGGCTGACGCTTCTGTGTGGGGCTGTCGGTCTGCTCCGCTGTCATTGCTAAAACAACCAGTTCTTTTCATCAGAAAACATAATTTTACACAGCTTAAGTAAACCAAATATGCTTTGAATCATCACAACCATAAAGAATAAATTGTTATCATTAAGGCAGTAAAGATTACTGGGCTATTACACAGCCATTAGATGTGATAATGGTTATCACATTAGTAGGAAATCAATTACAAAAATCCTTAGTTGTCCTCAGTGTGAACTCTAAAGAGAAGAGTGATCCTGTGTGTGAACTTGCCTTGCTTTGTCATGCTGCTTGTTGGACCGTTTAAGTGACTTGATGAGCTGTCCATAGGGAGTGTCATGGATGCTCCCGGTTGGCATCTTAATAGGTTTAAGGTCAGGGGTGGGAGAGGCACGTTGGATCATGAGGCTTGGATGGAGGTATCCGTCTGGATGTTCCTCTTCGTAACCTGCAATGCATCAACTCAATGAGTTATTGACTCTCAGTGATACAGCAGATCAAATCAATTTCAGTCCAGGTGTAATTGTATGTCACTTGCAAAGTTAAGATGGTATACAACTATTCTACCTGCAATATTCAGAAACTTTGCTTTAGGAAATGAAATACAACTTTCCCATAATGTGCCGTTGTATAAAGTTTGATGCCCATTCATGAAAAATTGGCTGAGATATGTATTATAAACCATGCACAGTCTGCATGGACAGTGAGATGTAGCAAATACTATCTACTCCCGTCTTCCCATCAAAAGGATGTATGGATTGGTTGACAGACTGAATGTAAACAGTCTCTGGTAGGATATATTAAACATTTAATAAAAGCAATTTTGTTCTAATTGAGATCTGAGCTGCAATTAAAGAAGCAGTACATACCACTCATGACAGAATTTTTAACAGATTTCTTAGCAAATATTATTTAAGAAGGAGCTGTTGTCGCTCCTATGCTTATCCTAACTAGCTGGTAAAGCTTTATCAGAGTAGATATGTACAAACATTAAATAACTTACTGCTGTCAAGGTCCTCCTGTATCTCCTCAGCCTTAGGTCGATACTTCCCTGACTTTATCATCTTCACCATGTGTTTGTAATATGGGTTCAGCGTGTTCTCAAAATGCATGAATTCAAACTGTGCATTGTTGGACTGTTTTGTTTTTATAATGATTTCCATCTGAGCTCCATGTTCTGCTATGAACTTAGCAGTCTTCTCTATAATAGCATTCTGTTTCTCTAATTCTGGCTACAAGGAAAGAATAGAATGTCACTCAGGAGCTTTCGAGGTAGATGTTTTACTCCCCAAAATGTGTTATGACACTCAGGTTTACTTGACAAGTGTTTAACTCTCAAAATTCCAAGGGAAATGTTATTTGAATTCTGAAATTACTACATGTCAAGGGTCAACTGAAAGCCAATGATGATAGCTATAAAAGGATTTTTGTCTATTATACATACGCATGCATGACATACAACAATATACAGTAAAAACCCATGTAATTTGCGCACTTTTTTTTCAGAAATTTAATACCCAAACACTTTTTTTTCAGAAATTTAATACCCAAAGTGGGGGGTGCGTAAAATACACAGGTATAGAAAATTTCAAGTTTTTTTCAGGAAAAGATCGACGATTCTGGGAGATCGCCATCTTGGATTATTTCCCTTGGTAAACGGAACTCTAAGACAAATGACGGTCAACAAATTTGTTTATGTCAAGCATTAATAAAAGATACATAATGTGTTGTTATGCGAGTTTATGTGAAAAGTATTATTAAATAGGTAACCGTTAACAAAAAAAGTTTAGCCAAATTCCTATGCCAGATCAACTTACGACATTACGTTTCGACATCTCGGTGCGTTTCCCCAGTGCGTTTCCCCATACTATTACGAAAATGTAGATTCATTACGTCTAACATTACGTAAACACGTGATTGATAATAACCTCGTGAATTATTTCAATATTTATTAAATGAAACATTGTAAAAATAGTCTGCGTTAACTATATTTTTCCTTGGAGTAGATTTGAAGAGGATGTATTGATTGTCCACGCTTCTAGTATAAACATATTTTTTATAATCCCTTATCAGTCAAATCAGTCTGTTGTTATGACAATGCAGTAGGGCTTCGTAATTCACGCCACGTGTTGGTGAGTGAAAAAAACAACAACACGGTCCGTCGATCGCGACTGCAAATCATTTCAATTAGTAGAGCTATTGTTAACGGGTAATCACAGAGATAGTGATAGCTAATTACTGCATTGTAATTTGTAAAAAATATCGCCAAACCACGGACTTAAATAATCTATTTCCGTGGCCAAACTGAACTGTGACATGACCTGGTTTGAAGTGACGTAACCCAAGCCGCCATAATCGAGCCCATTTCACTGATCGTAATTATGATCAATAAAAGGTATCTAATTATGTCCTTCACCAGGAGATATGCATCAGCGGTTACTAAACATCGAATTACTTATTAATTGATATGTTTTTGTAAGCAAGTAAATGTTTTATGTAAAATATTGCTAAAATGAATTGATGTATGCCGATATGTGCACACGTGTGTGTCATGTGTGATCAGATAATTCAAAGAAAACAAGCAACAAAATACACATTTTACGTAGTTTCTTCTTGGTTTTAAATATCATTTTACATCAATGAAAAAAAATCATAGAAATATATTTAAAAAAAATTATTCATAGACCATGAACATCTTTTTTTTTCCAGATTTTTTGGGTGCGCAAAATATTCGAGTAGAAGCTTTTTTCCCGATTTTCAGCCTCAAAAAGTACATGCGCAAACTACACAGGTGCGCAAATTACATGGGTTTTTACGGTAATAAAGTTATACATATCTTAACATACACAATGAAACTGCAATGTTGCATTTTTATACATTTATTAGTATGACAAGACTTCATTATACAATTTCATAAACATAGCTGGACTAGATTTGCACAAACAAGAGGCCCAATGGGCCTGCATCGCTCACCTGGTATTAATCTCACACTTGTAATCTTAAAAAGTGGACTAAAATACATCTACAGACAGAATATCAGTGTTTGATTCCTAAGAACCTATTTAAAGATTTAAACATAATTTTTTATGACGCCTGTGGCGTTGAATGTCGAACATGGACATTAGGTTGAACAGAGTTTATAGTCTTCGAACACAGCATGCATCTGGCAAAATATCATTACACTGGACCTTTTGGTTATGCAGAACAAATGATTTAAAGATTTAAACATATATTGACCACTGTGACCTTGAATATGGGTGAAGGTCATTCACTTGGTAGTCCTTCATCCCAGCATGTTAATGGCCAAATATCATCACTCTTGGCCTTTTGCTTGTTAAGAAGAAGTCATTCAATGGTTTTAAACATATTTGACCCCTGTGACCTTGAATATATATATGTCAAGGTCATTCATTTGAACAAACTTGGTAGTCCTTCATTCCAGCATGTTACTAGCATTATACTAGGCCTCTTGGTTATTCAGAAGAAGTTGTTTAAAGGTTAAAAACATATTTGACCCCTGTGACCTTGAAAAAAGATGAAGGTCATTTATTTGAACAAACTTTTGTAGCTCTTCATCCCAGCATGCTACTAGCAAAATATCATCACCCTAGGCCTATTGGTTATTCAGAAGAAGTTGTTTAAAGGTTTTAAACATATTTGACCCCTGTGACCTTGAATATAAATCAAGGTAATTTATTTGAACAAACTTGGTAGCCCTTCATCACAGCATGTTACTGGCCAAATGACATCACCCTAGGCCTTTCAGTTATTCAGAAGACGTTGTTGAAAGGTTTTTAACATATTTGACCCCTGTGACCTTGAATATAAACCAAGGTCATTTATTTGAACAAACTTGGTAGCCCTTCATCCAAGCATGTTACTGGCCAAATATCATCCCCCTAGGCCTATTGGTTATTCAGAAGAAGTTGTTTAAATGTTTTAAACATATTTGCCCTCTGTGACCTTGAATATAAGTCAAGGTCATTTATTCGAACAAACTTGGTAGCCCTTCATCCCAGCATGCTACTAGCAAAATATCATCATCCTATGCCTCTTGGTTATTCAGAAGAAGTTGTATAAAGATTTTAACATATTTGACCCATGTGACCTTGAAAATGGATGAAGGTCATTTATTTGAACAAACTTGGTAGCCCTTCATCACAGCATGTTACTGGCCAAATGACATCACCCTAGGCCTTTCAGTTATTCAGAAGAAGTTGTTGAAAGGTTTTTAACATATTTGACCCCTGTGACCTTGAATATAAATCAAGGTAATTTATTTGAACAAACTTGGTAGCCCTTCATCACAGCATGTTACTGGCCAAATGACATCACCCTAGGCCTTTCAGTTATTCAGAAGACGTTGTTGAAAGGTTTTTAACATATTTGACCCCTGTGACCTTGAATATAAACCAAGGTCATTTATTTGAACAAACTTGGTAGCCCTTCATCAAAGCATGCTTCTGGCCAAATATCCTCACCCTAGGCCTTTTGGTTACTGAGAAGAAGTTGTTTAAAGTAAAAAGGTGACGCCGGACGGACGACGGACGCCGCACCATGCCATAAGCTCACTTGGCCCTTCGGGCCAGGTGAGCTAAAAACAGCCTTGGGCTTTGACGGTTAGGCTAATTTCACACTGATGCAGCACGAAAGAAATCTGAACACAGTTCACAGATGATTTTCCACATTTTTTTCAGACCATGCAATTCTATGATATTAATTCTATTCCTTTATTGTTTCATATCATCATCAAGAGGCAAAGATCACAATGCACAAACTGTATTGATTAATTCAATTCATTAAAATGTTATTTTGGTTTGATTATAAACAGTTATGCTGTTTATTCTGAATGTTTATTATGATAAACTTACCACATTGATTTCAGGAGGTACATGTAACTCTGGGGCAACAACAAATGGTTTATCTTCTACTGCTTCTGTGCAAACAAATCACAATATCATATATTTATAATTCTAGAACTTAAATTCTTTGAAAAAATATATATAATGTCTGACTTGTTTTTACAGTGGTGTTCATATAAAGAAAACATAATCAGATATACCTGGTAATGATAAAAAAGAGCAATATTAGGCGTGATTTTCTCCTTTGCTACACATCTTGAAACTGACCTGTTTCTATGTCTTAACATTACAATGCACAAGTTTTTCACTTAGAAGTACAATGAGAGGCATCTTCTCACCAATTTTGACCTCTGGCTGTTGCTCAGCTGCCATTTGCTGAGCATAGTCATAGCTGAAGCCGACAGCATTGTATCCCTCGGACAGGGACAGGTAGTAACGCTTCCACTCCTCCTCTGTAAAAAACATCAGTTACAGTTAACTGGTGGCTATCAGTGAATTTTCTAGACATTTTGGAAAAAGAATAATGGCCAAAGCTTCACAAGATTTGAAAACATAACATATTTAGAAAATTGTGTACATTAAGATTTGTATGGTATTAAAAGTAGTGTTTTTATAGACTATTTAATATTTCTGCATCACAAACAATACATTGTGTTAACAGTTCTAGCTAGTTTGTCATAGTTTGTCAGTTCTAGCTAGTTTGTCAGTTCTAGCTAGTTTGTCAGTTTAGTTTGTCAGTTCTAGCTAGTTTGTCAGTTTAGTTTGTTAGTTCTATCTAGTTTGTCAGTTCTAGCTAGTTTGTCAGTTTAGTTTGTCAGTTCTAGCTAGTTTGTCAGTTTAGTTTGTTAGTTCTATCTAGTTTGTCAGTTCTAGCTAGTTTGTCAGTTTAGTTTGTCAGTTCTAGCTAGTTTGTCAGTTTAGTTTGTTAGTTCTATCTAGTTTGTCAGTTCTAGCTAGTTTGTCAGTTTAGTTTGTCAGTTCTAGCTAGTTTGTCAGTTTAGTTTGTTAGTTCTATCTAGTTTGTCAGTTCTAGCTAGTTTGTCAGTTTAGTTTGTCAGTTCTAGCTAGTTTGTCAGTTTAGTTTGTTAGTTCTATCTAGTTTGTCAGTTCTAGCTAGTTTGTCAGTTTAGTTTGTCAGTTCTAGCTAGTTTGTCAGTTTAGTTTGTCAGTTCAAGCTAGTTTGTCAGTTCTAGCTAGTTTGTTTATCAATAATAATTATGTATCAAATATGCTTTCATTGCTTTCTACTAAGTTTGTCAGAGGTTTTATGTGTTTGCAACAGCTAAAAGATTTAAACATTCTAATAGACCTTTTATTGGCAAAAGAGACATCAAAATGAACTTTAACTTGAAATAGTATAAATATACCATTTATTTACTGACGAGTCCAGTGTAGAAGCTACTGCAGCTCCAACATTGGAATCTAACTTTTAACCCCCTACCTTCATACATGGTCTTCTCAGCCAGGTCTGTCCGCAGCTCCAGGAAACGCTCCTCATCACACAGCTTCTCAATCTGTTCTTCATCTTCAGTCAGTGTTTGTTCTGTGTCCTTAATATTGCTGGCATCATATGCTGAAAGGTCAAACAAGTGACCTCGTCCATCATACCTGTCGGCAGACAAAAACACAGTAAGGACAGGCTCATGGTTCCCCAAGCACTGCAAACACCCTATATTAACAAGTACACAGTACAAAGAAAGCTTGGGTGATCCTGGACAGGTAGGAGCAAGCATAACAGAAGACTATTTACATGCAGGAAGCAGAATTTGTTTAACTAGATAAAGGGGCACATTTGGTGAATATTATGAAAACATGAATGCACATCAAAAGTATTCATCTGCAGCTATAACAAGCATATTTCAGTTGGAAAGTGATTTGAGCAGCATGTTTGATTGAAAAATAGTTTCTGAATCCACTTTAAATGAGAAAAAATCTTCAAAAACTCGTAACTTTCGTACTTTGTAGTCACAAAATGATAATATATATGCTGACAAATATGCATTTTTTGTTGTAAATTACTGTGTATAACCTTGTGATCTTTTTTCAAAAGTAGAAATAGGTTATCAGATAATTTTGAATTTTTCCAACTGTTTATGTTAAGTCATACTGACAATATACATCATAATCAATATCAATGTACCCCCTTTATCAGGACGACTACATTTCAGCTGAATATTTCTGATGCACAAAACCATATTAATCACAGGGAGGAAAAGGAGTAATGCAGAAATGTCACACAACATAAACTCAATTAAATAACAGCACATATAGTGAGACAGCCATTTCACTATAGAAACCACATCATACTAACAATACACAGCATTAAGTGATTGAAATATTGCTTAGATTATTGAGAAAGGACATTTTTTGCACTACTGCTTATTCTTTAAATCAGTGTATGCAACCTCAGTATTTAAATTTTATACATATGTATCAAAATTTAAAATAGAGGCAAAGCACATCAACACATTGTAGTTTAAAGAATCAGAATATTTCATTGTATGCTTTCCAAAACATTTGATTGAATTTGATGTACAAGGGATACAATGTCCCATTATATTTATATCAATAAACACTCAATATAGAAACAACTGAAAGATCATGCTTTTAATTTTTTGAAACTGAATAAATGGCTGTGCAAAGCTTGTTGCTTGTATGATGAAACTCAGAAGTATATACATGACACGGGTATAATGAATAACTATAACATACATGCCAGAATTCTTTGAGACCAATCTGTGAGTTTTACAATAATTTTAAGGGAATTGAGGTTAAAATAAGGGAGGTTTTTATTCGCGGTGTTTTTCACAGGATAACAATGCAAGAGGACAGAAATAATCAGCTGTGAAAGTGAAGAAACTGTGTTTAGCATTTGAACTTTTAAATTACATATTTCTGCATTCAGAACAAAGACTTTGTCCATCTTTACCGGTCGTTCTCTTTACTTTCGTAGTGAAATTATATTTGTAAAGAAACACTTAGCCGGACATAGTATTAATCAAAGTTTCTAGCAATGAACTAACCTTACAAACATGACAGAAAACATGTTTTTGCTAATTCTACTGATATAGTGAGGTATCAACTTCACGGGAAAATTTTGATGTTGAAGCCGACAGGTCCGAGACCGTTGCGCAGTGATAAGACTAAGAATGTCAGGCATTCTGTAGTATCAGGGAAATTAATGACAACAATAAGAAAGGATCAAACTAAATCTATAATATTAATTTATTTCAATTGCCTATTGTAAAAGACACTGAAATCAACTCACAATTTCAAAAACCCAGCCATTTCAACCAGCTTAATTTTCCGAAAGTTATGAGAAGAGCTCTTCGATCACATGATCGCTCTCGTGATTTATCGCTGAAAACATTGTGGATTCCCTTAAGACTTCGAGTAAACAACAACAGGAAAAATGGTTCACCGATCGCAATCGATCATTAAAAAAACTGAGGTTTTGAGGATTTCCGTTAATTCATGTCCCACGCCTTGAGACTTTATCGGAGGTGTAAATCCGTGAGACTTTTGCCTCATGCAGAGAGATCTGGCATGTATGATACAATCAATGTTGTGTGTTCACTTCCTAGCTACTCCCCAGAAGCAATGTTTTGCTACAATTTGAAATCACATATTCATCCTTGTAACACTGATATCAACATAACCTCAAAATATATTTTTTTTAAACAAATTTGTACTAGCTTTATCTTGGAGAGGAGATCAGTTTATGATTACTGAAATTTATTATTCAATACAAGTCAATGATTTGTTTTCTTTGAAAATTTGGCATGTTTGCTGTTGCCTTTGGATATAAATTACAAGTTCTACCCGGTATAACCTGGAATTGATAGTACATACAATGTACCTACATATTTAGATTGATGGGATTGGTAAGTGATTTCCAGAAAAAGTTGTTTCATACATAACATTGTTTTTGTCATGGAGTAAGAGCTGTCTTCATAAAAGAAGCCTGCATCACTAAGTTATGTTTTAACAGCAAAATAAAGTCTTTGATTCATGATCGTAACACAACCTATCACTTTTATTATACCTAAGAGGTTTACACTGAATCATCAAAGCTTTTTTAATTTGTATGCCAACTTTTAAGAGTATTTAACGGTAGTACTTCAGTACAGATATTTTTTCATTACTATTCAGTAGCAGTGACAATACTTGTCTTTTCAAAAGCTAGGTACCAGGCAAGTGATTAATTACAAATAAACATTTGAGTCCAATATTTCGTTTCATTTGATACAAAAAAAGGATGAATATGACCACTGTTTAATGCTATCAAACACTAGTCATTTTGATGAAATATGTGCAGTCACAAATTGGAGCAATGTGTTTTAAAACAGATAAAAACTTGATTTCATCGAGTGTTTCATCCAATTCAATTGCACAATATGAGGAACATTTAAACATACACATACTAGTTTTTTTTTTATTTTCTTCCACATTGAATATGTGGAATTCTTGTTGTTTTGTGTTGTTCCATACTGATACCTGTTACATGGCATACCAGTTCATACAGTTTGATATGACACTCTTGTTGCATCTCGCATCATCAATATACAAGGTAGACACATCTGAAAACAAATTCCTGAAAACATCTGGACAACAGCGAACGCCAACTGCTGACATTCTCAATAAATATGACAGAACATGAAAAAGTCTTATCAAGTTGTTTGACTATCAATGGAAGTGTGACGTCTTTCCACCATCGTCCATCAGTCTGAGACTCTGGTCTGTCATCGTTCCTTTCTCCGAACCAAGGGCAAGGTCAGAAGAAGGGGGTTCGTCTCGAGTTCATCTGAATACTGGCATACATAACGGTCATTGCCGATGCATACCAGTAAACACATACTCCCTGTAAATCCACGAAGCTGAAAACTAAGGTCAGTTGTTAGTACAATGCGCGAAAATCGACTCAAATCGAAACCTTTTTTTGTGGCTCCTGAGGTTGTATGGAGAACAGACCTGTCAATAAGAACTCTGTCGTCGGACATCCATGGGATCAGGTGTTTTTCTTGGTCCACAAAACTAGCCTTCTCATCATCCCGGAACACCTTACAAGCATATCCGAAAACAAAGAGCTCCTCTTGTGCTTTACTTTGACGGTTTTCTTCTTCGTTAGCTTGTGCCCACCACTGGGCAGCCGCCATCTTTTTTCTGTTTTTCTCGTACGTTTTGGAAACGTCTACTATGGGAAAATTCAGATTCTAGAGTAAAAGCAATATTACAGGTGAGTAATATACATTAGTATATAGAACTGTTACCCTTATTTTGAAAAATAAGATTAAAAACTTATGTAACTGTAACTTAATTTGGTTTGTTATTTTCATACTTTATTTCTGATATATTCAAACGTTACCCCCTTTCCGTTTGGTTTTAAACCTGTCCATGTAGTTTCCGGTTGTTCGGTGTTACTTCCGGTTTGCCTAACAGTAGAAATGGAGCCCGCAGTGTTATTCACGGAATCGGTTCTGGAGTTTCTGAAAGATTCCCTAAAATTTGACGATACATACCAAAGTGATATCGCAGCTCATATACAGAACTTTAAGGACCAAAATAGTATATCGTTTAGAGTAATTAGAGATATACACAGCAGAAACAAACTAGCAGGTGCTTGTTTCATCACAATTATCATTATCACATGATTGCAGTTGTTTGCATTTATACGGTTTATATAAATTTACAGGAAGAAGATCAACTGTAATTCTAGTATTGATCAAATATAATTGTTATGGGATGTGGTGAACTCTGGTGTTCAACTCCAGTTCATGAAAAAAATGCAGGCACACATAGTTAAAAAAAATGGTCAAGGGGAAGCAATTCTTTGAAACTTTATTTCAATTTTCACACAGAGTTACCGTTCCGTACACTCTGTAGTTAGAACTCTGTATAGTCTGTCATGTGGAGTACATAATTTTTAGATGAAAATGTTCACTTTATTTCGAAGTTGAGAATAATTAGCACCATCTGTAAACTGGCGATATAAAACAAATATGTAATAGGAATGGAAAAATGCAAATGCCAGACTAGGATTCGAATCTTGGACCTCCAAACTCTAGACAGAGCTCTAGTTATCAATTGAGCTACGTATACCAAGATGCTGGTGATTGATTCAGTCAATTTCCACTACACTCCTCTCTCCATTAACTACATTAAGTTTTTGTTACTTTTTTACCCCGAGGACACATTGGCCTCTATAACATCTTGCTTGGGGATGTTTATTAGGGTGCCAGATGTTACTTGATACAAAAACAGCAGTAGCCAGACCAGGATTCTCACCGATATATTAATTATATAATAAGCTATACCTGGTTGCTGGAGAACAGCCCAATCCAATTAAGATAAAATGTGAATGTGTTATATAAGATATGCATCTAAAATTAATCCATTATTCAGATTGATTTTGAATTGTCTCTGTGATAATTAACAGTGAAAGTGAAGATATTCAAGCTTGTGATTTTTCACCAATGATGATATAAAGTTGATTGTGATGTCAGAATATAGTGGTCATAATATTGTGATGTCCCAACACATTATTTTTGACAATTAACAGCCACAGACATTTTCCTGTTGTTTTTTGGTTTTTAGTTCCATACTGGTATACTATATATTTTTCAAGATCTGTTATACTTATGAAATATAAAAACGATATTCAACAGGAAATCATAGAATATCCTATATATATCAATTCTTGTCTTCAGGTCACAAACAGCGCTACCTTCATGAAGTTTTACAAGATAGTGACATTTGTTTGCCATGTGTCAAGTTACCACCCCGTGTAAGTGTTTTATAGGAATTGAATGGTGTTTTATCAATATAAATCCTACATTTAAATGATAAATCTCAGGGCTTGATCCTCAACCATGAATTAAAATAAACTGCCAGTCTTCAGCAATACAGTGCAGAACATATGAAGTACAGATTTGTTTAAGTTAGTTTCTTTTATTATTAATAATATTATAACTTTTTGTTTTGTTGCTATTTCATGGTTTCAGGAGGAATACTATAATTCAAGCCCTTGTGTCTATATGCAGGCCTTATAATAGTGACATTATGGTTTCAAAATACTCCTGTACAAATGGTATTATCTATATACAGAGTTTGTTTGTAATAGATGTCAGGTGAGGATGAAGTTTGAATGTTACTGCAAATGTTAAATTGGTTCCAAATATGTAGTTTCTCTGATTTTCACTTTGAATTACTTAAAGAATCCTGAGTTGGAAGCAAGAATACAGAAATTAAAAGCAGAACAAGACAACAAGAGATACAGGGAAATGACAAGAAATGTAGACAAATCTGTAAGTACATGTACATGTTAAAGATTTTTACTCTTGAATACATGCATGTACATAGTGATTAACAAAATAGAAACAGTTGAAGTTGACTGTATGTATTGCTGGTCATGATTTTTATTCACTTAACTTTGCTAATCAGGACTATTATCTGATTTTTTTTCTTTTCAGTAAGTACTAGTATCAGTTAAATATTAAAATATTAAAAATATTGTTATTTGATCATATAAAATAGACTTTTAAAATAGAAAAATAATTTAATTCCTTTTTTTTCCAGCAAAAGAACAGTGTGGACAAAATGAATATTGGTGCAGAAGGTAAGATTAATCTATGAAGAAAACAAACAATTTCAAGAAAATAATCAAGAGAGTGAGGACAACAGCTGCAGATTTTTCAAATTAGAGTTGATTTATTGAATTTGAACAGATCAGCTGGACTATCAAGTGAGAATTTTGTATGCTTAGTATATAAACAGCAGATATTTCCCAGATTTCTACTTATTAACAACTTAAAGGGACATGTACTGCACCTGTTTGTAGTCGCTATATATATGTAGGAAAGGAAATAATGAGATTCTGAACCGATCCCTAGTGTTTTTATTTATTTCCCTAATAAACCCTCAAGAGATATAATTGTAAGGGAGCTGCTCAAAATCTCTTTGTTTTTCTTATTTAATATCATAAGGACTTCAGATGCATTTTGAGTATGGTATGTATTGTACCAAAAGAGGGAATTCAAAACACAGCTTGATTTTCTGAGTATTTATTTTCTGTCATTATTTTGAAATGACAAGGTATTGATACATATGTAGCGCAACTGGGCTGGGTCGATCGTCGGTGACTAGGTAGCTGGTAGAGCGTTCGTCTAGAGTTCGAAGGGTTCTGGATTCGAACCCCGGTCTGGTCGTTACATTTTCTTATTTTCCTGTTACAAAATTGGTGAGCTTGCCAACCCTTGTTTCAAGCATTAGGAGTACGCTTAGCAAGGGGATACCCAAACTTGAGTTGTAAATAGTTGTGTCTTCGGGGGTTTCGGAGGGTTACGGGTTTGAACCCTGGTCTGGCCATTACTTTTTCTCTTTCCCCTGTCACACATTGTAAATGTTTGGAATGTTAGATAGAATCTAATTTCAATGGCAACATTTCTGCATTCTATATATGTATTTTCTTTGGTCATTTCAATCATCTCATGACCTGTAGTAGAAAACAGTTTCCATGTATCATTGATTAGATCACATGTTTTTTCCCTCCTCCTACTATGATTTAAACAAAGTCACTGTATATCTTCTTATTCATTAACTACTCATTGTTTGAAAGTATTGGTCTTGCCATTTTTTATTTTTTTATTTTACCTGAACATTTATTGGTTTTCAGTGAAAGCTATGAACTCCCAGATCTGGTCCGTGGTGAACTTTGCTGTGACAGTAGGAGGAGCGTTTGCGTTCGGATACAAAGCCACAGAAATAGCCCTCGGTGGATCAAAACATGCCATGGTTGCGGTATGTATAGCACAATCTTCAGTATGTTTGAAATACCTGTTCTTTTGTACTTCCTGTACAAGGTACTAGAATGTAAAATGTCTCATTGATAAACTCCTGGCTTCTGTAGATGATACAGAAATAGTCTGAATAACAGGAAGTGCTGCAACCAATTTTCAAAGTGATGAAGTCTGTATAGAAAATCCTGTCATTGTCTTGTCTTGAATATGTTACCAAGTGAGGTCTATTTACACACGACTGATGTCTCAATATAGTCAAATAAACACTGGATAACTATATAACCATACTGTTGTCAATATTGTCAAATTAACACCGCTCATTGTGAAACCACTACATAACCAAACTGTTGTCCATTAACCGCTGGTTACACTTTGTACCCAAGAATCTCATTCAATAATCAACAGCTCAAATATATGTTCCTTTGTATGTTTGTCAAGAAGGCAGTATTCTTGTTGATAACCCAGTATAGTGATTTATGTTTTAAAAATGGTAATGGTAAAAATACACAAGGATCATTTTGCTCCTATTTTTGAAATCTAGCCTGTATAGAATGTGTGTTTCAGTGATTGTCTCTTCAATGTTCCATATCTGTTGTTGCTCTGTAAGTCTTTGGAATTGTTATGGTACATATTTTTATAAACTGTTTTATGTTTTTTTGTGTTTCAGCAAATGATTATGGGTCTCATCTTTGGTACCATAGTGTTTTTTGCTGACTTGTACTTCCTTCTGAAGGAGCATTCCCAATACTGACAGTACCGTATCATAAACCCATCAGGCTGTGGAACAGTGAGCAGAGAGCAGCAATCAACGGAGGCTGTCTGGTTGTACAGTACATAGGTGGATGCTGCAGTATACAGACAACTTGCATTAAAATATTATAATTAGAACAATTCCGTACATTTGTGTACACTAACTTCATCAAAATATGTAGTGGGTCTATGTACATGGAGAGGATTATTGAGGGGACACTGAATGAGTATATATTCATTTGAAAGTTTTGTTGAGAGATAAGAAATACACAAGGAACACAGGGACACTGTCAGATGTAGGTGACAAATGATCTAAGGGGAGATAATACACAGGTGTTGCTGTTAGACACCTTATCAGTGAACACTTTCCTCGGTACAATTTTCAAATGTAATTTAGCATCTAATATAACAATAAACGACTTTTATTTCAGTGAATTTGTGGTTATATGAACCTGATAATGTAACATTGAAATTAACTTTGTCTCAGTTAATATCATTTTCTCGGGCCCATATAACCACATATCCACCTCTACAAAAGTCTATAATTAGTAAATGTAAAGTAAATAAAGTAAATAGAATAAGAGATGGAATACAAAGCGAAGAGGACGATATAGACTTGGAATGTGAGATAAGTAAGAGATTGATTGTAGAGGGAAGAAGGAGATATTGACTTGGAATGTGAGACAGAATTAGAAATTGAATGTAAAAGGACGAAGGAGATATAGACTTGGAATGCAAGATAGAATAAGAAATTGAATGTTAAAAGAGGAAGCAGACGTAAACTTTGATATAGATGAGATGGAGTAAAAGATGGCCTGTTCAAGGCAGGAGACATACAATTTGTGTACTAAAGTAGAAAATGGAAGTTAATCAAGAAAAGGAGAATAAAATGGATGGCGTTATATCATTCTGGATCTAGACCTGCCCCAACCCCTTCTAAATATGCTCCTCCCTATTCTGAACATCTCCTACCATTCTAAGCAAGCTCCTCTCCCTAAAAACATGTTCTTCCCTCTCCAGGCATGTTTCTCCCTCTAAAAACAAGATTCTCTCCCTTCTAGCATACAAACCCCTAAACTCGCCCTTTCCACTCAAAACATACCTTCTCTAGGTATGCTTCTCAGTTCTCCTCTTCAAAATATGCTCCTTTCCACTACATGCCCTTCTCCCTCTAAAACATTTTCCCTCCCTTTAAACATGCTCCTCTCACTCTTTACACCCCCTTGAAAGCATACCCTCTCACCATTTTAAACATTCTTCTTCCTCCTTAAACACATTCCTCTCCCTCTTAACATGCTCCCCCTCACAGCATGGTCCAAATTCCTCTCAACATGCTCCTCCCATTTAGACAAACTCCTCCCTCTCTTGGCATGCTCCTCCCACTGCAAGCAAACATTTCCCTCTCCCTCTAAACATATTCCTCCCCCACTTAACATACTCCTTCACCACTAAACACTTTCCTTGTTCTAGACATGTTCCTCCCATTCTTGAAATACTCCTCCTTTAGGAATACCCAATCATTGAAGGTTTACTCACCACATGTAGGCATGCTTCTGCCTGGCTATATATGCCCCNCACACACACACACACACACACACACACACACACACACACACAATTCTCCGTGGTATACCCACATTTACCTCATTTACCTCTCTAGACATGTTCCATTTTCCCCCTTTGCAATCTCCTTTCTCTCTTTGTTATAAAAAACAGATAGTGGAATTCTGACCCCGACCACAGTTCTAGAGTTAGGAGACGGAGATATCATCAAGTGTGACAGTTGATATTATATGTGTAGATCTATAATCAGATACTATATACATTGTGTATGGATGCAGCAATCTTATTTTGTTGTAAAATGTTGTTAATTTATTTGATTTATACAATGTTATTAAATTTGAAATCTATGAATCTGTGCATTCTGAATTGAGTTTTAAATACCAGATGACCATATATAATATTCCCCTGTCAAATTAGGGGAAATGTTGTTACCGTCTGTCCTTTCTGTCAGTGCATCTGTAGGACGTCTTGGCAAGTCCTACAGTCATCAAAACTATGCAGATAATCGGGAACCTACACTATAATGCGAGTTATGCAACGTAGATGAACGGGAGGTATACTTTCCACTTCACTTCTTTTTTCCATTCATTTTCAAATGATATTTGTCCAGTTGTCCTTCACCCATATTCAAGGCCACAGGGGTCAAATGTGTTAAAACATTTAAATAACCTCTGGATAACCAAGAGGCATAGTGTGATGTTATTTGGTCAGTGAGATTCTGGGATGAAGGGTTATCAGCTATGTTACAAGGAATGATTTCCATCCATATTGAATATCACTGAAGTCAAATGTGATATTTTTTTACCATTTCTTCTGAATAAGCAAATTGACCAGGCTAATGATATTTGACTAGGACGATGGGTTATCATATTTGTTCAAACGAATGGCCTTCACTTGAATTCAAAGTCAAAAGTATTAAATCCATAAATGGGGGGTCAGGTGGCGCAGTGGATAGCGCACTTGCCTTTCACCTAGGCGGACGGGGTTCGATTCCCTGATCAGGGGCGGGTCCAGGTGAGGGCGTAATGGGCGTACGCCCTTTTTCAAAAAAAAAAAAAAAAAAAAAAACTATCGTAATCTGCTAATATTGTATTGAATATGGCAATTTCTCATATTCGTTAATTAAACACATACTCTGATTTCTTTTTATACTGATTCCCCCATCCGATGGGTGATCCGTAGTTTTTTAAGCAAAAAAAAGGTCCATTTTTTTTTCGCCTCGCTCCGATCGGCTAACGTTTTGATTATATGCCCCCTCTTTCAAATATCCTAGACACGTTCCTGCTGATCGGACGTGAAAAGGTATGGGGTCACTTGCCCGACCACGTGGGTTTTCTCCGGATACTCCTTTTAGCTCCCCACATTAAGACTCCCAGCGCGCTGACATCCAGGCCAATAAGAATGATTGATATACGTTGAAATAAAACGAAGTTTACATACTAAAACCGTTGAAAAACCTTCTGAATAACCAATAGGCCTAGTGTGATGATATTTTGTGAAAGCCGTGCAGGAACGAATGATCTTCAACCATATTCAATGTCAAATGTGTTGAGAACTGTTTTGCACCATTATATTTCGCAAGTATTTTAATGGCGTAAAGTGCTATAAATGTGAGATCTTTATGAATATGAATTATTTGGACCAACGTTAGAGGTCAGATTATTAAAACAGGATTAAAACGTTCAAACAAATGGTCTCACTGTGTAGACTATCAAGAAATAAAATATTGCAACATAGACCAGAATGTATTGAGAAACGATGCAAGAATCATTATGGCAACGGGGTAGATTCTAACAGTATTATGTCATTTCAATTTTTGTTGAATAGATCCACATATGTTTCCGAATTTACTGCTTCCACTCGACATATTTGAATGTTACCTATCAAAAAGCAATATTGATATTACCCAAGACTTTATTAACATTGTGACAATTACAGGACGGGACTGTACAGTGTGGGGATAACAGGACGGGACTGTACAATGTGGGGATAACAGGACGGAACAGTAGAGTGTGGGATAAAAGGACGGGACTATACAATGTGGGGATAACAGGACGGAACAGTAGAGTGTGGGAATAACATGACGGGACTGTACAGTGTGGGGATAATAGGACGCGACAGTAGAGTGTGACGTTTACATCACGAGACTGTACAGTGAGACAATTACAGGACGGGACTGGGGACTGTACAGTATGGGGATAACAGGACGGGACTGTACAGTGTGGGGATAACAGGATGGGATAGTATATGGGGTTAATAGGACGGGACTGTACAGTGTGACAATTACAGACGAATTTATTGATTATTTAGTTCTGACTTAAAAAAAGAATTGTTTGACAACATAATGCAGGCATGCATATATATGTTGGACAATTTTAAATTAAGACGCAACTCCCATACTTTTTGTTCCCTTGAAACCTTTCAAAACGTCTGGGCAAGCGGGATACTTTTGTGTATAGTCAGCTCCAACGAAAACAGAAGACAGAAATACCCAATAGTTGAAGCATCTCTTTCTGGCATATTTTTCGGATTACTCGTGGTCTATAGGTTCTGTTGGAAGAACTCTTATCCATAGTTGGTAAACGTCAGCCATTATAAACTTGAGATGATGTCACAACTCTGATGATGTCATACTCGTCACCTCAAATTCAGCGGAATAATGTAAAACAAGCATTAGGTGGATTGAGACCGAGGCCAATGAGGTCAGAATCCCTCCTATGAAAAAAAGATAGTGAAGTTCAGTGAAAGAGAGAACCTTTATCCGTTAGATGAAATGAGTGCCCGAATAGATGAAAAATCTCGGACTTGCCGAAGGTGTAAAGTTTTGACTTGTTGTGAGCACAGTAAAGCGGCAATCTGCCACTTGTAGTAGGAGTTCAAAGATTATTTTCGAAATATGTTTTGTTTTCAAATGTATATTTATTGGTTTCGTTCTACATTTAACATCAATTTCTTTCTGGTTTTATTTCACAGACGCGTACAATTTCTGTCAGCTAATTAATGGATGATATCTCAAAGTCTGTTGGACGGAAAATCGTGACAATAACGGGATAGGATTCTGCGGAAAATGCTCATGCAATATGTCAAATTTCAGCAAAACCGTGAAAATATCGACCTCAGAAAAAGCCCCTGAATACAATATTTAAATGAGTAGAATACTCATCAAACAATGTATGTATTGTGACGTCATCACAAATCGACGGTTTGACTCGCTGGCCGATCGGTCCAAATGCGGCACTCAAGGGTATATGTAGTTGGGCCGATATATCGGCACAGCGGCACACTAATGGTTAATCAGCTCTAGTAACATATTATTCAAAAGAAAAATCCACTAAAGGTACAAATATATGTAATACTATTTAAAAGGCGCAACTATCTGCGCGGAGTATGACGTTATTGCGTTATACGTCATAATACTCGGTTGTAATGGCGGAACTGGACAAACAAGAGGGTCCCCACCTCGAAAGTTTGGAAGGCGATTGCGACGTTAATGCTAGATGGAATAGCTTACCGGACGTACTAGTAATATATATTTATGAATACCTTTGTGACTATGCAAGACTACAAATGGCATGTGCCTGCAAGCGATGGCGAGACCTGTTTTACACCCCGTCTCTTTGGCGACGCAGACGGGTACATTTCATTGGGCTGAAGGCAGAAAACAAAGCGAGGCGTGAATGTCAATATATCAAGATCATGGGACGGTATCTTAAGACACTAACAGTTTCCTTCGGTAAACCGACATATCGGACGGTCAAAGTTATGGCGCTGGCAGCCGAAACTTATTTGAAACAGCTGCTGTACGACTCAAAATTACGACTTACTGGGTTTGTGTTGCATCACTTAGCATTGGAACATTGTTGGCATTTCTGGATATCTCGTAATAAGGTCATAGGTACTCTCTGTAGATTGTTCAGACGGCTTAGGTATCTGGAGACAGTCACTGTCGTTTCCTGTAGACTTTCATTACTCGAAGGTTGTCGCCTACTTGAGTCCCTTGGTCGTGGGTACGCTGCAAATACGCTGAAGGTGTTATCTGCCGACGATTTGTTCCAGACAAATATTATACCTGTGCGACACAAGCGGTACGTACATGTAATGTCTAAATTCTCAGGCCTTACACAAATATACGTGAACTATGGATCCATCAATGCTGGTATATTAGACTCATTTGCTGAAAACCTCAGCAACACATTACAGAAACTCACACTTTCAATTGAAAAGAATGTGAGCAATTTTATTATTCCGTCCGAAGTATGGAAAAACTTCAGCAAACACTGTCGTCATGCTGTGGTCACTTTATACATATATGTAACGGGACGACTATACGACCCTACCCAGCCATTGGTCAAGGGTGTTCCGGTCGCAGAAGTGAATGCTGTTTCCTGGGCGTCGATTGCGCAACATGATCACATGCAAGGTCAAATTCCACTTCTGATCAGACACGTCGGCAGAACGTACTCGGACACACTGGGTTCGTATACTATATAACTGGTTGCAAACAAATACTTGCCAAGTACCAATTCTTGACTTACGCATATCTCCATTGAACAAGTAAGATTGGAAAAAATATTGTATTAAATAGGTGTAAAAACGAAAATTTGTGTGCATGCCTTGCCGAGAATGGGTACATGGTGAGAAATTGTCTGCAACAAGTAACAAACCTAAAATTAATCCCAGCTCCAAATTAAAACTTTTAATAGTTCTTCCGGCTATTTTTGATATTGTGCCGTGTGCACAGGTAAGTGTAATTCAATTTGACAGTGGTTACTTGTACCTACTGTAAACATCCGTTCAGTCATCAGAAGACTCGGTGGTTCTGCGTTCGACAGAAAAATAAGGAACGTTTTGGGATATCGTATATGCAGTGACGTATCGTTCACAGTAGGCCTACGCCATTTTCCCATTGGATTCTGTTTTAATTTTACATTAAAGAGTTCTGACTTCGTTAATGGTCGAGTTTAAAAAACAAAATGTACACAACTGCAAAACTATTCTGAGATTTTATTACTGATACAATTCAATTTGTCTATGTTATTGAGGTGTCATTTTTCTTCGACGTCATTCTTATAGACACATTGTTAGATTTAGACATAAACATTGTTTTGGCCAATAATGGTAGAAATAATAGAACTCAAATAGAACTGCTGGATAAGTTTATAGTTGTATGCCGAAATTGATTAAAATAGAATGAAAAAACGAAGTCGGGAAGATTTATTGAAAAGAAGTTACTTATTATAAAACTCAGTGTTAAAATTACCTATGTTACGTAAATGCCTGTAATATGTTTGTCAGTAGAAAACTAGTTATCGTTACTGTTATTCGACCTTTTCATCGGAACGTCTGTTTGACGATAATCTTGATTATTCAGCAGATTTCAAACAACATTATTATGAAAATGCAATTTACATGCATAGAGAATTAATTTCTTGTAATGCGAACATTATTAGACAGAACGTTTGCAGACATTTTTTGTTTTCAAATGGGTGTTTTGACCTGTTTCTGTTTTTCTGGGACGAATCGGCGAGAGTAGTGTTTGCCTTGTGGAATTCTGCGTTAAACAGCTTCTTGAATATATAAAGGAGAAATGGGCAGTATCCCCAGTAACTTATGGTTAGGGGGGGGGGGGGGGGGGGGGGATGGGGGTCACCTGCCCGATTTCGTGGGTTTTCTCCGGGTACTCCGGTTTTCTCCCACAGTGAGATACCCCGCGCGATAGCATCCGGGCCAACAAGAGTGATAACTATAAGTTGTAAAAACTTGTTTCATAATTCATTATTGTTGTTAAATAAAAAAAAGTTTATACTTACTTATTTATTAACTTTTGATGGAATATTTTGTTTTCTCAGAACACCTCACCCTCCAGCTAGATCAAAACCCACCCATAGACGAGGACTTGTTATATTTGTTGAACACCTGCCGGAAGCTGCGACATTTACAACTATGTTGCTGTCTGGCTGTCACTACTGTTGACAAAATACGTCTGTTGTTGGTACAAAACGTAATCCGTAAGTGGCGTACTGCGCATGTCCAGTTCAGATACGCTATTTGACAAGCATCCTCGATACTCCAGAGGTTACGCTCACTTTCGGTCTCTGTACCCCGGGAACATAATATAGCAAAATAGAAGGCACGCGGCTAGCTATTTGATTGGTCTCAAGTAAAAAAAAAAAATGACAATCGCTAGGCTGATACTTGTCTTTTGAAGATTAACGAGGAACGCCACACGACTTCATAGCCAGTCAATTTTACCGTTACGCGACCGACAGATTCTTTTTATGGACATCAAAGATACAAGGTGGTGCACACTGAGCCTTCGATTTTGCCATGACATATTCAGGGATGCAGAGAGCGAAAGTGAGCGTAGCCCCTGGAGTATCGAGGGGGATAAGGTGAAAGTTATATGGATGATATTTAATGGGTTTCCGTTAAATACCGGAAAACCATTATTTCCCATTTATTACTTTTTCATCAACACGACGAAAATATTGTTACATCGGTAAAGTGTAAATCTACACGGTAATCCCAAGCGGTAATCGTATTTAAGCGCTTTTCGCGCTTTGACAACTGCGCTGGAGAATGAACGCGCCGATTGAACTTCCTGTATATTGTTCTCTATTGAATAAATTGTGCCTATACATATCATAGCCTATAGGAAGGGCATCTTAATGTGCAATGGTTATAAAGTGGTAACGTAGTGCGATGATAAATCACAATAATACATTATCTGATATATCACTGGTGAAAAGGTAAAACCAAATATCTCTCAATATATATATGTACCTGTATAACAACCTTTACAAATATGGGCAGAATTGTGTAACGGAGAAGTGGACGTCTGGTTTACCAGTCTCTAAAGAGAAATGCTCCCTAACAGTGTCGGCTAGTATTTTGTTCCAAAGTGACAATTGGGCACACTGTGATATGTATTGTTTTTCAAAACAAAAGAGAAAACCAAAAGAAAAAATTAAACGATATGCGATGTTCTACTGAAACGATCAAGAAACTGGAACGTCTCATTTGGGGTACCAACTTGGATCCAAAATGGCGCCCAGTGAAAAGTTCTCGTTTCAGATTTTTAACATCGTATTTTTTTTCTTCTATTAAAATATTTTATCAGATTTGCACAAACAGAAACGTAATTTGGAACGCGCTGTTCCTTTAACTGGCCAATTACAAGTAAACACAACTGGTACGTTCCTCTTATTGGAATGCACAACAAGTCCTTTCTTACTATACTCATTTCATACCAAACATGTGAGCCCTTATATGACCGCAACTAAACAAGGTCAATTCAGTAAGTATTTTATTGATATTTACATGTACATGTATGTATTTCAGCAAATCAGTAAATACGTGATAGAAAACGCATATACAAATGTACTACAAAAAGAACAAGGCTACAGGCTATGCCTATTTAGTTTTCGTGTTGTTGTTTTTTTATCTGTATGCCAGTTTGAATGTTTCTTTCATTTTATTTTCCCGCATCAGATTTGCAATCCCTGACCTTGAACATACACGGCCTGAACGAGCGTGAGTGGCACCAACTACGGACGATTCAGCAATCTTTGATCGACGCCATTAATGGAAGGAGCTGATACTTAATACAATGGTGATCGCCTAATGTATTAAGATAAGGAATCAAAAACACGCATTCTCAGTTCCACTTGTTTGGAAATAAATGACGTATCTCTATAATTTAACAGTTCATATATTAGTATTTCTGAATGACATTTTTTAAAAGAGTATAAAGGAGGAGCGGTTCCAGTTTGCCCTTCCAAACATTTCTATTTCTACTCGTGTTTTATGTACGGCATAAAATAAGAATATAAAACATTTAAGAATATGATGTGTGCGAGAACCATATTTAGAGCAATCTCGAATACAAACTCTGGGTAGATATTGGTGGTGTGGTGTGGAGGCGTTCTGTATAACAATCCCGATATAGAAATAGCTTCTTGATATAAATATATAACATATAATAGTCCTTTGCATTTCTAGAGTAAACAAGAAAGGGTAACTTTATTTGGTACAAGTCATTTAGGTGGTGTGCAGGGCCAAAAAATCACCCCTCGTTCGATATGTGGAGTTATCCCCTTTTTGTTATGAAAATTAATTCGTCGCACATGCCGTTGTGAAAAGCGGTACCTTTTAAATATACAAGGTAGCTTGATGAAATTCGAAACACATGGTATGATTCAAAGTTGAAATATAATTAATTAAATTCGTTTTATTGTTTCGAATATGAGTTCAAAAAGGCAAAAACAATGGTGTTTGTCCGAATAACTATTATACATCGATATTAAAACCTCACGGGAGGGCGAGGCTGTTTTCATATAAAATTATGGAGGTTCTATTTGAAAAAAAGTGTTTCTATCCCCCCTCGGTACACCCTCTATAAATAACAGGTTTCAATATGTACATTATAATCTGAAAAAAAGAACGAAAATGTAAATTTAACGTTTAAACTTCTTAGTACCCACATGTATGATTTACTTTAAGATCTGCCGCTTAGAAGATGTAGAATTGGAACAAATAATTCGTGTTGATGAGGACTTTTGATACGTACTTTGTAGTTAAATCAGGATCGTCCTTACATTGCATCGGTGTTTTTTTTTTAAACTTTATTACATTTTACCGTGAATCTACAGATTCATAAGAACAACAATCAAATCACTATTTTTCAATACTTCGCCCGCCTTTACTATAACAGGATTGTAAAATAATTAAAGGTGTGGTAAATCAAAATTAAAACTCGATCCCGACTTTCTGTACCTGTCGAATCCGATTACACACAATTGTACTCCATAAAGAAAATACTAGACTTTTCTGCTGATTGCCGACATGTGATGATTCTAAACATGACAATGAATATCGCTGCAGATATTACAAGTTTGATGTAATGCTATGACGTGAAGGAGGAGAACTGGTTTTTCAAAGACCCATTCCCGATGAGCGTCATAATCGCAATTTCAGAGGTAACGCTCACTTACATTCTCTGCATCCCAGGAATACGTCATGACAAAATCGAAGACACGCGGTTAGCTATTTGATTGATTTCGGGTTAAACAAGTGACCAATCGCTAGGCTGATATCCACATTGGAAGATTACAAAAGAGTGACATCGGGCTTCAAAACCTGTAAATTATACCGTTACGGTGTCGCGCGATACTTTTGATGTACATCAAATGATCAAATAGTGTCTGGGCCTTCACATGTTGACGTGTACGGAGCCTTCGGTTTCGTCCTACTAGTAACATACCCCAGGTGTGCTAAGAACGTGAGGGAGCGGGACATCTGAGGATAGGCGAGAATTCTCTACCACAGCCCTTTGGGAATCTTTGACGTGGTCGGTATTACTGATCAACGTACTCGAATTATTTTTATTGCACTTTTACAACATTGTCATGTTGTAAATATTTTCGTTTTAAGTGGACCGATGATAAATGTTAAAATTAAAAATTAGGGTATTTTGACAAAATTATGTTAGATGCCACAAACAATTCCAAATTTGTTAGACTGATATTGTCATAGGGCAATTAAGTAACTGCCTTACACATATTTGCGTTCTGCAAGGACCATTAGTAGCTGTTTTGCCTGCTAAGTCAAGTGATAGTTTGTTCTCATTGTTAAAGTGCCTTATTACCGAGGAGAATTGCAGCAACAACAACAACACCGCCGACAATAGCCGCGACTGTCCCAATGTCAATGGTAGAGGCATTGTCTACGGTCAAGGTGGAGGTCGTATCGTATTTCATCAAAAGGTCGGTATGCTGAGTGATAACGGTGGCCACATCATCCATCTCCGTATCCAAGGCAACGGCATCATGTCGCTGATTCAGCATTCCCGTAACCTTTCGCAATACGCGATAATTTACCTGCATCTCCTTGGATGGGATATTCTGTAGAAGATCACGGATTTCTCTAGGTAGTGTCCCTCCATGTTTCTTCGAATACTTCAACAGCATTTGTTTGTCTGCCTGTATGAGGTCTGTTACAAGACGTGTTAAGCGCTTTTGGTCATTCTGTTTGCTTATCTTGTCGACCATTTGTTCGCTGATAAACACTGTTTTTCGTGTCCTCACCAAGCTGCTCACAGCGTTCAGGACCAGACGCTGCTGTTGCTTTATCCTTTGCCCGTCCTCATGTGACCTTTGCGGAGAACTGTCGATCAGGACGTACCTCTGGTCACACGCACGGAAAACGGCTTTCAAATACCTGTTGTTGTTAACAATATCCTGAATGTAGGTTTCTTCATTATTTTCAATTTGATCAAAGTGGGTTATGACTGGAATAATATGTTTGGTAACATCATTATCAAAATTGTTCAAAAATCCCTCAAAATATTCTTTGTCTTGTTTGGTAAAACTTGCAGTTCCGTCGATCACAAACAGTAACGCGTGCGGACCCGGAAATAGCGGTTTTCTGGAGAACATAATCTCCACTGCCTTAGGTATATGACCAGGAATGTCGACTACGGTGATTTGTTTGCCATCAAAAGTGTTACACGCACAAGACCAAGGATCGGCAGCTTGGCCTGGTTCGGGTATCACATCTAGTAACTTGTCTCCAAGGATAAGATTTCCCAGTGAGCTCTTGCCTTGTTTTTGCTTCCCGAATATAAGGATTTTCACTTCCTCAAATGGGAAATCTCTCCAATCAAATGGTGCTGGAAGTATAAATACAGTCTTGAAGCATGATGCAAAACATATTTTATTCTTATAACCTATTGACGCAATAATATCTTCTTCTATGTCCTACTTTCCTTGTTTTTTTATCCATGGCACAAAATCTACGTAAGCTTAGTCACGATAACTAGCAAAGACACATCTTGAACTCAGTCAACGTACTGTTAAATAATCAAGCAGAATCCGTGCATTGTAATCGTGCATATTAAAAAAAATATTTCTAAAATAAAACGCAATCATTGCAAATTAAGTTTGTCTCCTTAACACGAACATTTACAATTGGTCCTCCATATTCTAGACACAAGCATTTCAAGAGATGCATGGATTGCAAATAAATTAGATAAGTGGTGTCTGGTTGGCAGATAAATCAGATAAGCGGTAGCTGGATATCAGATAAATCGAATAAGTGGTGTCTGCAAAGCAGATAAATCGGATAAGCGGTAGCTGGAGTGCAGATAAATCGGATAAGTGATGTCTGGATAGCAGATTAAACGGATTAGTGGTGTCTGGATAGCAGATTAATCGGATAAGTTGTGTCTGGATAGCAGATTAATCGGATTAGTGGTGTCTGGATAGCAGATTAAACGGATTAGTGGTGTCTGGAATACAGATAAATCGGATAAGTGGTGTCTGGAATGCAGATAAATCGGATAATTGGTTGCTGGATAGCAGATAAATCGGATAAGTGGTGTCTGGATAGCAGATCAATCGGATAATTGTTTGCTGGATAGCAGATAAATCGGATAAGTGGTGTCTGGATAGCAGATAAATCGGATAAGTGGTGTCTGGATAGCAGATTAAACGGATTAATGGTGTCTGGATAGCAGATAAATCGGATAAGTTGTGTCTGGATAGCAGATTAATCGGATAAGTGGTGTCTGGATAGCAGATAAATCGGATAAGTGGTGTCTGGAATGCAGATTAATCGGATAATTGTTTGCTGGATAGCAGATAAATCGGATAATTGGTTGCTGGATAGCAGATAAATCGGATAAGTGGTGTCTGGAATGCAGATAAATCGGATAATTGTTTGCTGGATAGCAGATAAATCGGGTAATTGGTTGCTGATAGCAGATAAATCGGATAAGTGGTGTCCGGATAGCAGATCAATCGGATAATTGGTTGCTGGATAGCAGATAAATCGGATAAGTGGTGTCTGGATAGCAGATTAATCGGATAAGTGGTGTCTGGATAGCAGATTAATCGGATAAGTGGTGTCTGGATAGCAGATTAATAGCATTAGTGGTGTCTTGCTAGCAGATAAATCAGATTAGACGTTAGTTCGCGGAATATTTCTGATAATAATTTGTTAAGAACTATTTACCTTGCCAGCGGTCATTGTCAGCACCTGAAATATCCAGATAATCAAACTTTTTTACTGCGATAGCACAAACACGTTGCTTGGCGCCTTTCTCAATTCATGTAGGTGTGTTTATATCACCAAACAGCCAAAGGGCCTAAATATATATATATATATCATATAAAAACAGAACAACAAGTACTTAAATGATGAGACCCTTTACTCACAGTGTGGCCATAGCTTTAATGTTTGTTCTGGTTTTTTTTATCAAGTCCTTTGTGGGTTTCTTTCGTCCCAAAAATGTATATTTCTTGCACTGTACGCAATGCTAAAATTCCACATTTTTGACATATTATCTATCACTAAATATAGAATCTTACATGCGTTTTCATTTCAAATGAGATTTATGAAACTCGTCACAATTTTTTTCATTTTAGTAGATTTTGGAAGAAGGTCAGTACTTATAACAAAGGTATAGTTATAATCAGTGATTTATTCAAGAAGGATAACTTTTCAGGATTTTATAGATTTATTCCAAATAAACACAGATTTTCTAACTTTTCATGGTGTTACGGCGGTAGTAAGACAGTTTTTAGCAGGTAATGAGATGCCATTTAAAAAAAAATCTTTTCCATATATTCCAGTTAATCTGAAAAGTTTTATTAGTCCCCTACCGGTGAAACCAGGGGGACTATAGTTTTCCCGTCCGTCCGTCCGTCCGAAGAGGTTTGTCAGCACTCTAGAGCCTTCATTCTTTCATGGATTTTAATCAAACTTTACACACATGTAAAGAATTAAAATATCTTCAACAAGTTCGAGTTTCAAGGTCATCGGATCAAGGTCAAGGTCATTATTACTATAAATAGAAAAACTTTGTCAGCACTCTAGCGTCTTCATTCTTTCTTGGATTTTAATCAAACTTCACACACTCAAAAAGAATTAAAATATCTTTGACAAGTTCGAGTCTCAAGGTCATCGGATCAAGGTCAATGTCACTATTACTATAAATAGAAAATCTTTGTCAGCACTCTAGCGTCTTCATTCTTTCTTGGATTTTAATCAAACTTCACACACTCGTAAAGAATGAAAATATATTTGACAAGTTCAAGGTCATCGGGTCAAGGTCACTGTTACTATAAATAGAAAATCTTTGTCAGCACTCTAGTGTCTTCATTCTTTCATGGATTTTAATCAAACTGCACACACTCATAAAGAATTAAAATATCTTCGACAAGTTTGAGTTGGACAGGTTCGAGTTTTAAGGTCAAATGGTCAAGGTCACAGTTACTATAAATAGAAAATGTTATTTAACATTCTTCCTTGCCTGTTTATCAAACTTCACACATTTGTAAAGATACCTTTACAATCAACAAATAAGATTTCTTAGTATTTTTATTCCCTTACCGGTGAAACTTGGTGGGAGTGGCAGGGAGGGAGAAGAAAACAAGAATACCTAAAGTTTTCCTCGCTGTCTGTCCGAAGAAGTTTGTCAGCACTCTTGCGCCTTCATTCTTTCCTAGTTTTTAATCAAACTTCACATTATTGTAAAGAATTTAAATATCTTGGACAATTTCAAGGTAATCGGGGCAAGACAAGGTCACTATTACTATTTTAGAAAATCTTTGTCAGCACTCTAGTGCCTCATTCTTTCATGGATTTTAGTCAAACTTCACATTATTGTAAAAAATTTCAATATATTGGACAAGTTCAAGTTTCAAGGTCCTCGGATCTAGGCTGAGGTCACTGTTGCATCTTAATAGATTGCGGGGGGCGGTAGGGGACATGTATTGCTTCAGCAATACTCAGTATGCTTGTTTTCTCTGCTAAAGGCTCAAAACATTTTTACAACACACTGGTAAATAGAAAAATTATTCCAACTGGACAGGTTAAATGGAATGTTGAACTTGACATCAATGACCAGTACTGTAAACGAATACATCTAATCCCTTTCAAAGTTACTTCTAATACAAAGCTATAATGGCTTCAGTTTCGAATTTCGCATCCTATACTGACAACAATTTTTTTTTCTTATCTAAAGTAGGTATCTCAGATAATCCTCTATGTACTTTTTTGTAATCAAATTGAAGAAACTATTGTGCACTTATTATGGGAATGCCAAGAAGTTCAGTCTTTTTTGAAAAGTTTTGAATCTATCCTTGATGCATTGCTAATTTATTTCCAATACAATAAAATTACTTTCATATTAGAATTGTTTACACAAACAGAACGGTTTAATAAGAGCGATAAGGCAATACTTTTAATAATTAAGCAATACATTTACAGTTCTAGATATAACAATAGAATGCTGAATAACAACTCTTTAATTCTTAAAATCAAGGACCATTACACTGTACAAAGTGATATTGCAACTGCTAAAGGTGAATGCTATATGCATAGATTTACTGCATACTGGGGAAAATGGATGCGGCTAATAGAGCTTGTGGACTAATTTTAAATACAAGTGTAGTTATAAAGATGTACGTAAACACATACTGCCCAGTACTCTGGCAATATATTTTGCTGGTTCTGGTACTATATTTGTAAGAACTATATGAGTATAATTTGACATCCCTGTCCCTGGTATCTATCCCTAGAATTCATCAATATGATATTTTTGCAACAGAATATCTATGCCTATTCATTCCTTTTCTTTTTCTTTCCTTCTCTCTTATTTCTCTTTCCTTCCTTTTCTTTAAAGCATCATCATCATCATCATCATCATCATCATCATCATCATCATCATCATCATCATCATCATCATCATCATCATCATCATCAATCATCATCATCATCATCATCATCAACAACATCATCCTGAATGTTGTCGTCATAAAGCAATTACAGGAGTTTTATCTGTTTGTAGATAGAGTGTGTGTGAGTGAAAGAATACAGGAGTGGGTATATCTGTTCGTGCTTTTTAATGAAGTGAAGTACATGATTTGGTTCTGAAATATAATATATCATGATGTGGATTACATTGTCCGTCATAAAATGTGTATACATGTGTTATGCTGACCTTCCTCATTATGAATGAGTTAATTATGATTGTTGAGTATGTTGATGTCAAATAATGAGTGTACCAATTAAAAAAAGATGTTGCAGTTTGGTTCAATGGCTGTCTGTTGAGGTGTGTTGCTGATGACACGCATTGTATGGATGATGACAATGACGTTGAGGATGATGATGATGATGGCTATGAGGAACGGATAGTTTGAACGTTTATGATCAGGATGCGGATGAGATAGTGATGCTGATGATGATGTTGATGATGATGATGATGATGATGATGATTGTGAGGATGATGATAGTGGTGATGATAATGACAACAACAATCAGGATGATGTTGACGATTCTGAGAATGAGGATGATGATTGTGAGGATGATGATGATAATGAGGAAGATGATAATGATGATGATGATGACAACAATCAGGATGATGATGATGATGATGATGATGATGATGATGATGATGATGATGATGATGATGATGATGATGATGATGATGATGATGATTGTGAGGATGATGACGACAACATTCAGGATGATGATGATGATGATGATGATGATGATGATGATGATGATGAGTGAATTAAGTGTCAAATGTGTGTTAGAAAGTGTGAAAATGAAAATACCTGTTCTGTACCTATATTATGAAAAACTGTTGGAAAAATAAATTGATAAAAAAATATATATCTATCACTAAATATAGAATCTTTTTGTGTTTGTGACTGTGCGTAAGTCTGTGACGTCATGTACTTGCCTTGGCGATGAAACTGAAGCGCCTTTGGTGTTTTATCCCGCAGAAGGTGAAAAATTAAACAAAAAAATAATATAGCAAAACAAAATAAGCACACGGACCCCCTAATGTTTTGACTGGTTTAGGAAGATAAACGCATTTTCTATCTATCCATTGAATATAAGTAAACGTTTAATACCAGGATTTTTTATATCAATCGTTAAATTTGCAAATAAAGGTAAAAAATAGTATTTTGTGCACTTAAAAAATGCGGTAGGGGTAACATAAATTGCATTACTGCGATAAAAATATAGGTTAAATAAATTTTTCGTTCATAATTTAGAATAAAATATGATTTTTATCAATTGTGCAAACATTCATACATTTCTGATGGCACACTTGAAATGCATTGTAAGAATTTGGTCTTCATACGGTCAAAACGATCTATTTCACCAAAAAGCACACATTATGTTGAATTGGTATGTTTGACTGATCATAACAAACAAAAAACGGGCACATGGACATATAATTTTCTGTGTATGTTTTGTTTTCTCGTATTCCCCTTTTTTCAAAATTCCATATAAAAAAAGTTCGATATAAGAAATAACGATGGCCGAAGTGAGCCATGTACTGACAACGATAGAAGTGGTATAGTTGTACATGCAAAACTTGACAAAGTGACAAAGTGACATGTCAGCACACACTCTTGTTAGTGGTATAGTTGTCCATGCAAAACTTGACAAAATGACACTCATACATTCTTATTAGTGGTATAGTTGTACACTAGGGGCTGGATAATGTCAGGCACAAATCTACCATGAAGTACATGTGTTGTATGTTGGCGTGTAAAGCAGTATGCGGTATTAGGTTGAAGGATATAATGTTTCAATATGTATCCTAATCAAAGTGTTCTGACGGTAATATTTAATAACCGAAAGACAAACTGTTCACGTTCTGATTATCCGTTTTGACTTGATGAATCACTGACCTTTTCGTACGGGTTCAATTCACGTTTAGCGTATACAATTGTTATCAGACACACTTACGAGGAACGTTCTAGTAACACATTGTGATTGCTTCCCTTTTGAAAGTTATCAGAATATGGCCGACTACAGAAAAATATACAATATGCTGATATAAATCTTCGTCGTTATCAAAAAGGATGTCAGTGAGTGCGCTCAGGTGTATGCGAATAGAAAACGAGTGAGAAGGGTCAAGATTTAAAGCGGCATACCTATCATGAGTCTGTTTAACAAAAGAATAATTCAGATATTGCAACTGTTTAACATGTAGTAAATTCAGTTTGTATGTCAAAAGGTAAGTAAGTAATATAGGAGTAATCAATCGGCGAAAATAACACCGTTTGACGCGTTTTAACAACGGTATTTCTAAAGGACTTTACCAAGACGTAGTTTGATACATAATAAATAGTGATGCTTTCTTCAGCACCTAGTGATACCCAGATAAAACAAGCTAAGTTCTTTTCGGATACCGACCTTGAGAAATGTGTCAACTTGACATGTCACTTTGTCACTTTGTCAAGTTTTGCATGTACAACTATACCACTTCTATCGTTGTCAGTACATGGCTCACTTCGGCCATCGTAAGAAATTGACTTCGCAGATGAGTGTATTCTTAAGAACATTCATCTAAATACGGCACTGGTAAATATCATATTTCCCAATGAGATCATGCCAGGATCATATGGAAACCTTGTGTTGTATGTTTGTCAGCACATGTTTCCTGGCAAACATGATATAAGGATCAAGCCATTGAATACCGAATCGGTTTCTGCATGTAAACGTAAGATGGCTAACAGGGATGATACTTTAAAGGAAGGGAAAGTTCAATCGAAATCGTTACGTTTATCATACAGCTTGGTAATAAGCCGTCCCTGTTTGTCATGGTCTAAATATAGATCAAAGAAACAGGCTTAAGTAGAAGAGCTTGTAGTGTCTTCGATTTCAAGTTCAGGAGGGCATATTGGATCGACATGTTCTATTAATTTCTTGTTATTTAAAATGGGCACACTTTGTATTTTAAAGGATCTTCATGTGAATCATTCATTTGTTTATTATTTGCTCTTATCTTATTATTTTTATGTTAGAATTACAGTTTTATTGACATCGCGGTATTTTTTATCTTGTATAAAATGGCAAGTGTTTGTTTAAGCTATTGGTGCAGGACTAGATCAATCGATTTCTTAAAGACATATATATATATATATTCAGTACATATCATTGATGTCATAATATCATTCTAGCACAAGAGAATATCGTGAGTAAACTGTCAATGTTTCCATTAGAGATAATCATAGTCATTGGAGTGTGATGAAACTGATGATGATGGTCACACTAATTCAGGAAATTGTAATACAAAAGATATGCATTATGTTTTAAGTTATAAAATGTGCTTATTGCCTTCCTATTTCACATTATGGACTATTTTACTATGTAATAGGTGCTGATACAAAGTGTAAATTGTACGGAATTTGTAATGAAAATGTGTAGGGTTGATTTTAAACCACGCATAACAATACCTTCTTGTACACAAAAACATAGACAGAATCTAATCGGGGCAAAGACCTTTGTAAACATCTATGATGGAATATTTACGATAACATTAAGAATATGAAGTCCTCGAACATGTTCTTGAAAAATAACAGGTTTGGTTCAAACTCTATATACAAAACAATACTGTGGTAATTGTAGATTACGGGATCTATTTCTGAAACATTATTCAAATTTCATCATGAACAAGTGGATATTTTGTTGTTATAATTTTACAGAAGTTTCTTCATTCTTCATACCCTGAAAGCATGGAGAATAGCTAGCTCACCGGAAATACATTCTGCAGGGCAGTTAAAGCTTATCGACTGGCATGTCACCTCGAATATTATTATTGTTTATTATAAAATGGATTATATAGCAACCAAAGCCTCATCAGCCCTATCCATTACAACGTATCTGTTAAAAACGTTTATAAATAATGTCAATAAATCCAAAGTACAAGAACGCTGATCATTTCAGGCCACGTGCACAGAACAGGAAGTCCTTTACCGTGAACTATTTTTGCAGAATATTGTGTTCTGTGTATAAACGTTACCATCCGTGTCACAGCTTTTGATACATCCACTATCAGAGTATAAACATAATAGTTCTTACCTCCTGCGCGTCTGGCCATCGCGAGTTGTCAGGTGTGAAGGGCTATAAATGTGAAGATCTAAACCTGGGGACTATCGTCGCAATTGTATTTTGGTTTGTTGAAGGACGTTAAATATGTATGACTGATAAGATATCATAACACATACACAGGGTTGTTGATGTAATATCTATTTATAGTCAATACAAACATACACAGGGTTGTTGATGTCGTATCGATCTACAGTCAATACACAACAAGAATCAAATCAATAATTACACTAGTCAATGATAAAGATGTAATTGGCTCTACAATATGTAACCAAAGAGGCTTGATGCAATGAATTACACGAGTACAACTACTTCTGTCAAATTGGAAATATATCTTTTGTGCAAATCAAGGTTTTGATAGTTGACAACTTTTCCCCGTGGTAACAATTGTGTCCTAATTCATGGACACACAGATATCTGAAGGATGAACGTAACACACATACAGGTGATTACACCTGTACAATTTGGTGTAAGACCGGTAAATAATAAAATAAATATACAACATTTGATATAGCGCCCTATCTAGCTAACATAAGCCACTCTAAAGCGCTTTACAGTACATAGATATACAATTTTATACATTCAATACATTTAGCATATATAATAATCAATCCAATATTGAGGAATTCGCAGGAGCTGCCTTATCAGGCGCTAACTACTAGTCCTATGCCACCTGGCTAATATCTCCCTATGTGTGTATGCCTGTGAGTGTGCTGGATATGTATTGTGTACAGTTTACCAAAAACAATTACACTACATCGTACAGCAGTATATGTTGGTCGCATTTGTATGGCGTGATTTGTGCCAAACGTAACAATAATTTAAGATATGGTGTAAATGACCTTAATAATGTGACTTTTTATTGTAAAACGTTTGTATATATAGTAAAACGTTTGTTTATTTTGTAAAAGGTAAGTTTATATAGTCAAACTTTTCTTAAATTGAGCTAATATTATAAAACGTTTGTTATAATGTAACACTTGTGTATATTCCAGTATAGCAAAACGTTTGTTTATATTATAAAACTTGAGTTTGAATTGTGAAAATTTAGTTATATTGTAAAACATGTTTTTATATTGTAAAACATGTTTTAATATTGTAAAACATGTTTTTATATTGTAAAACATGTTTTTATATTGTAAAACATGTTTTAATATTGTAAAACATGTTTTAATATTGTAAAACATGTTTTTATATTGTAAAACATGTTTTTATATTGTAAAACATGTTTTAATATTGTAAAACATGTTTTAATATTGTAAAACATGTTTTTATATTGTAAAACATGTTTTTATATTGTAAAACATGTTTTAATATTGTAAAACATGTTTTAATATTGTAAAACATGTTTTTATATTGTAAAACATGTTTTTATATTGTAAAACATGTTTTAATATTGTAAAACATGTTTTAATATTGTAAAACATGTTTTTATATTGTAAAACATGTTTTTATATTGTTAAACTTGACGGGTTAATATGGTAAAACTTTGAATTCAAAATAACATTTTATTTATTCTTGTGTTTGGCATGTCAAATTGCAGTGTTTTTTCCTAGAAGATGTTAAACAAATCAAGTTAATTTATAATTGATATGTATTCTTGAGGTAAAATAAGCTAAAACTCTTTATGCACATTGCCGATTATGGCTCCCGTTTGAGATCAGACAGCGCTACGACACGAAAAGCGAAAAAGTCGGATTACTATCCTCAATGATCTGGAATGTCCTATCATTGTCTGAACGTAGTCGTATACGTTCGTAACAGAGTCCTACGGATCGGGATAGTCCGGAGAGGTCGGCCAAGCACTCCCGACAGTTAGGTGCGTCCCGTAACATTCGGGAAACTCAGCCGATTTTGTCTAGTCGGATTACAATCGGGACTATGTCGTGACAGATTCTGCTGTATCGGATCAAAATCGTAACAATATCCTGTGTTGTCTGGACGGTGTCTTGACGGTGTCGTGTGGATCGGGACGCTGTCGTGATGAACGGGCAAGTTTGGGGAAATTGTTCATTGCCGTTTCTAGCCGATTAAGTCCAGATTGCGTCCAGATCTTGCCGAATGCGTCGGTTCACTGTCTGATCTCTGTCGGATCGCGTTCGGGAGGAGAATCGGGACGCTGTCAGGACACATTCGGTCGTTTTTTTACCACATGCGGAGTTACAAATCGGATTAGATTCGGATTGAGAACGGAGGAATCGGGACGAATCCGGCTGGAAACGGCTGAATCGGGACGCATCCTGAACAATATCTGATTGTTGTCGTGATTAAATAAATATTTTCAAAATTTGTGAATTTCCCGACTTTTGACAAATTTTAATCGGGAGTGGTCCTGTCCTGTCATGGGCCGATCGGCATTTACGAATTTTGACGTCACGCTCGGCATTGTCCATGACGTCATCAATACATGTGACATGAGACGATCTGGAAACTATTTGTTCTGTGAGGCGTTTTATGTTAAAATTTCAATCATTGTACAAAAAATTATCGGCATCGCAGACGCACATATCGTATACCAATGGAAAGCTGAGAACCTGATCTTGAAGCTCGTATTTAAAAAAAGATGACATGCTTTCCCCGTCCATAGAATATACTTTGGTGGTGTGATTTTGTTCCCTATACTGCGTGTACCGTTTCCTGCATTTCACGCAGTTGAATAATCTAATTTGATATCCACTCCACTTTCTGTTTTGGTGTCAAGTGATAGAGTTGGGGTACATTTCATTTATTTATCTATTTCTCTTGGACTTTCTGTGAAAATATGGACGGTGCGGTCAGTATATTAGAAACCCTTCGCTGACTTTCGTGCTGTAAGCCATGCATTTGAACTTTCAATTCCTCGGAGATATGACTTTGAATACGGCCAGTGGACATATATGGCACGGACAAGGTGTCTAATCCCTTATGCACATTATCTGGTATCATTTTTAAACCAACTAAACTTCTGTCTTATATACTGTAGCTTTCGGTGAAACAATAGCAAACAACAATTTTTTGAACAGTGATGTAAGCCTATTTTCCGTAGTAGATTTTCATACACACAGTAACATTCACCTTAGATTCTTTTTTTTTATTCTATTTGTATCGCGACTAAGCCAGTGTATGCTGTTGTTCAGATAAGTTGGCTAGATCAATAGTATAAGGGTATGAGGGCCGTTCCTACCCTGTGTCATTTTTTCCCCTTTCTATTTCATCTCTTTTTTTTCATAAAGGTCCCATAAGGTATGTCTCTTTCACTTCGCAGAAATGATTGATCAAGTCTATAGTCAGACTGGAAAACGTTTCCAGTGCATAATTAGTAACGTAACAAGGGGCGCGTTCGGATTCAAATATATATCAAGAATCGAATCAAGAGATGTGCTTGCTGCTGACCTTTGCACCAATTTTCACCATGACACGTACGTAAATTGAGCTAGTTACGCTGAGTTCTGTTAACATTCTTCCAATTTTAAAGGAGCTGTGGTTCTCTAAGTTGCTTCAAACAGTTACTAATTAAAATGACCTAGTTTGACGAAGATATACGTGCCTCGGCGAGCAAGAATCATTGAGAAAAGGTTATTGTATTATGAACTTGAAGACGTCAATAAAAACACTGTGAAATAGTTAATAGAATGTCGACTGAAATATTCGGTACTTTGTTTTGTTTGTCTTAGCTATGTTAACTGAATCAAACCATTGATAACTTACAAGAAGAATGTCTCACCTGTTGGTTGTCTCATATTCCTCATAAGATGTAAGTAAATATTATTGAATAAAAATGATGCAGCATCATGTTGAGACATTTGGACGCTACATAGGTACCACTAGCCAAATTTCAGTTTCTCTCTGGCTTTAGTGGAGAACGTTGTCTAATGTTTTGCTTGCTATGATTTGCTATGAAAGGCGTTACACATTTTTTTATTTACGTCATATCAGTATTTATTACGTAAACAAAATTTGCCGCCCCAGCCACCTACCCATCCCAACAAATTAATTAGGCTTTATATTAGAATTATTAGCGATACCGACTGTATCTGAGTGTGATTAGAAGACGAATACATGTACGAAATAGAGAAAATGACTCGTTCACGTTCAACTGAACAATATCGCAACTCTTTTGAAAATATGTATTCAAAATCAACGACCTCGATTTTGTACTGAGCGTGTAACCTTTGGATTTCGAAATTGCAGAAAATAGAGAGCATCATATATGATTGTGTGCAACAGATTGTACACACATTCTAATTCGTTGTCATACACGAAAGGTAAAACATTCCACATCTGCTAGTTTCTACAATATACCTTAACATCGGCTGGTATAGCAACATGCGCACTAACTGCTGGATTACATGTAATTATACAAAGTAATAGATAATTATTTAAGCTTTCATAGAGGTATTACGTTTGGTTCTAGGTGATCGTAATAGTTTTATATGATCGTTTAAATAAGAAGTAATTCAATGTATTTTTCCATGACGTTTCCGGAGTAAATGTAATTGGGTCTACGCATAAATTGTTGACGTCATAGTACAACGACGTCATAATAGGACATTTCAAAACCATGCTGAAGTCTTGGCCTGACAGAAAGTCAGGGTTTTCACTGTGGCAGCGAAAGGTTTAAATAATTTTTCGATTGCAGGAAAACAATTTAGGTTATATGACAAAGAATCCTCTTTTTTCACCATCTTTTGCAGATTAAACGATTGAACTGATGACTTATTAATCCCATTCACTGGATTATAGAAAAAAGAAACTTTTATCTTCTTAAAACAGCCAAGCAAATAAGGATCCGTGTGCTTTTCTTTATATGTTTTTTTGGCCATTATCATTATTTCAAGTTATTTTTTAACCTTTCGGAATGACAAATTCAAAAAGAAATTGATACACAATGACACATCCAGTGATTAATCTAGTGTCAAAAAAGTGAAAGTTTGCCATTGGTGGGAATATTCAAAATGGCTGCCGAATTCCATGATAACAAAACTCAAGATGTAAAAATGTCTGCAAACAACAGGTATCGAGTTTTTTGTGTGTTTTATTTTACACATTTTTAAGATGCAGGTTTGCTTTAAAATTAATCCTAATTTGTTAAATCTAATAAAATCATAGCAAGATTTTAACGTAATTTGAATCCCGGAAGAGCAAACCCTTAAACTCGTTTCGAGCGTTTCAACATTATGACACATTATATGATTGAAACCTGCAGGTTTTGGAAGATTCAGTAGAACGTAATCTTGGGTAATTTGATAGAACGTTATAATTTCAGATTGATTAAATGTAACGTAACCATAGGTTATTTATAAGAACGTTATCATTTCAAATTAAACGGAACGTTATCATGGGTGATTTATAAGAACGTTATCATTTCAAATTAAACGGGACGTTATCACGAGTAATTTATTAGAACGTTATTGTTTCAGATTATATAATTGTTATCTTAAGAAAATTCACAGAACGCTATCAAGAGATATTCAATAGAATTCTATTAATTTTGATAATGACTTCAACACATGTAACTGTCTTAGTAATGTTTATACATTCACTAGCTATCGTACGATACATGTATACCTTTTCACTAAAATTATACCAGGGCATATGTGGATCCAATCTACATTAATGAATTAAGTTCAGTCTATTTTAACAATTGAGATTAAAGCTTATATGTTTGTTTTTGACTGTCCTTATATATTTATTAACCCTTGTCTCGTCCTGCGGGATCCTGGTAAGAGGAGTCATTAAATCCACTCACCTGTGGCTAACAAGCGAAGCCAGGCTATATCTATCAAGGGTTGTTTCCCCTACATCACTCCTTGAGGTGCGACCTAGTTTCACTCGCTTTCAAATCAGGTAAATATACACATAGATTCAGAGCTGTCCACATATGACACTTGTATACACCTGATGGGGTTTTTCACCGATATGCGGATAATAGTATATAAGCACTGAAACTGTTACATAGTATGCCTACGTCGTCCAACGGTAAAGTGTAACACCGATATATCTCGACAGATACTGTTTAGACATGGCGGTGGCCTTACGTACATTGTAGTACATTTCACGGTTGATAGGTTTGCCTAGCTTGACTATCCGGTAAATAACGTCTTTGAATTAACTAATTTTTTTGAGTTTGGCTGTAAATCATTTACTAAAAGAGTCTAGTCTACTCCGGGTACTCCCCATTTCACCAGTGAATGTAATGTGTATTAATTCGTTATTATACTAATATTTTTACTAAAAGAAAACTTAAACTGACACGGAGTAAATGGATGATAATTTTTTTTTCATTATTATCATTTTTCAACTGAACTATCATAAATGTTTATTGATTAAATCATAAAATACAAAAGAAAGTTTGCATGTGTAATCTAATTGTAGATTGTAGATTGGTAAAGTCCACATTTCGCTTGAAATATTAATCTCAATACATGTTTATCATGTTTACCTGAGTGCGTGTGCGAACTTATAACACGATATACCGACATTAATATATTATTGAATTGGAACCATGATCAACTGAATATATTCACGCATCACTTTAAGCGAACATGTAGATTTCTTACTCTATACAATCTGAATGTAAATTAAACTGAAGATTGTATTGGCCATACTCAATAAACATTGCAGTTCAAGGATTGCACACGTTCGTCACTGCTTGTTTGGTGTCGCACTGTTTAGCTTTGCATGTTGTATATTTACACGAGAGCAGCTATGTCAGGTGACGTCAAACACACAGGCGGATGTCACTGTGGAGCCGTCAGGTTCGAAGTCATGGCACCCAAGTCAGTTCACGTCTATGACTGCAAGTAAGAAATTAAACGTTTCTTCAATATTATTGTAGAAAACGAATACTTGTTTCTTCAATATTGTTCTAGAAAACGAATAATTGTTTCTTCAATATTATTCTTGTAAAAGAATAATTGTTTCTTCAATATTATTCTTGTAAAAGAATAATTGTTTCTTTAATATTATTCTTGCAAACGAATTATCAGCAAAAAATACCATATACTGCAGCTTGAGATAATGTCGAATACATTATGAATAGCAATCCTATCAAAAAACCCTCGAATGTCCAATGGTGAATTGTTTCCGCCCAGTATCTTTGTGGTCGTGATCTTGTTCTTTGTTCTATTCTAGCTGCTCTATCTGTGCTAAGAAACAGAACAGACATTTCATTGTTCCGGAATCAAAGTTCAAGCTTCTGCAGGTAATTTCCTTGTCTTACGACACGTTGTAAATTGGACACGTCCAAATTGCTATGACATTATTTTCCATAAAATATTGTTTATTTTACCTCAAATGGTACCAAAAACAATCCTAACGCACAAAGTCTTATTTTCGAATTTCATAAAGTCATCAACCCGACCACAGAAGCCTAGTTAAAACAGTGGTGGTCGAAGTAGAGCATTGTACATAGAATTGACAATAAGACCAGGTGCTAGGAATTACAACTTGAGAGACTTGGTTGACTTTAAAGTAAAGATTGTATATGTATTATTTTGTTAGCAAGCAAGGTTGCTAGCAAGTTTGCACAGATGTGTGTTTTCACAGGATTACTGTATTAAGCAAGATTACCCCTGTTATATTTGTGTGTGTTATTGCGCTCAGTTGCGACGTCAGAACGTTGAAGAATGGATGATGGTCCAAGATATTTGTGTTTTAGGTTTTACATATGTACTGACCGATGAGATAAAAAAGATACCGAATCCATTTCAATTCCATATGGTCCAGCCTATATGCATGTATATATGTGTTTATGGTATTGTATTGGTATGTTTAAAGTTATATTTGTGTTGACAGGGTGCAGAGAGTATAACGACGTACACATTTAACACTCACCAAGCCAAACATATGTTCTGTAGAGTGTGCGGGGTCCAAAGCTTCTACAAACCCAGGTCGAATCCGGACGGCTATGGTACGCCAGTGACGAATAGTAATAACGGCGTTAAATATAACCAATGAACCTATGTGTAATACCTCCCATTCCATCCAAGTTTTAGGATATCAGTGACGTAACCTTGTCCTAAGCAATGGCTTATCTAAACATTCAAACGGTGAATGTGTAAGCAACATGGGAATGTTGAAATAGGATTCATCAGTTGATTAGCTGAAAGCTGACATACCTGTATCGTTTTACGTCGAATTGTTACGTGATTTTATAATTTTGAGGAAACTTCAGTCAAATGTTTTATACTCGGAAACATTCAACCTTTCCTTGTTTTTTATGCATTACGTGATATCCGCAGGTGTGTGTCCACATTGTATTGACGAAGGTACGATGGAGTCCGTTGTCGTGGAGACGTTTGATGGGCAGAATTGGGAGTCCCACATCGCCACTACTGACATCAAGAAGTGGTCGGAACAGACAAACGCTCCAAAGCAGTAGAATCATCCTAAATCAGACGCCATGAAGCACCATCCAAAGTGATATAATAAATATAGCAATATAGGTCCCTTAGGAACCGTTGTCGTTCTAAATAAAGACATTTGAAATATGCACTTCTTTGTTATGTGATTCTTGTCCCGAAGGCATACAAAAAAAACCGAAAATAATCTTATCATATAATCAGAGCAAAGAAGAGTGATTAAATTGCATGCTGTTAAATGTTTATAAATAGAATGTATAGGTATTTCAATAAGATTATCGAATTGTCAATTAAAACACAGTTTTGGACGTTTGTAACGAACCTCTGTGCTCGAAACATGCTGGCCATTCTACACGGGTTTCTAAAAGTTTAACTGCGTGGTCAAGTTACAGTTTGGACTACGTCACCACGTATTGGCGATACTTGACTGTTGTAAATAGGATCACCGGAGTAAACCAGCATGTACCGTCTATATGATTTAATTGTATGTATTTAGTAGTGTGCTTTTGATGGTCAACAATATTGGCAGCATATTAGCATCAATTCAATGGATTATTGTCTGTTTATATTTACAGGGTCTTGCATGCATTTGAGTTAAATATGAATTTAATGAAACGAGTTCAATAATTTTTTTCTTTTTCCTTTTTTTTTGTGATTTTAAACGAAAATATCTGAACTAGCTTGAAGAAACTCGTATGGATTATAATTGAATTTTAGATACTTGTAACACATAACTAAGAATTGTATCACAAAACCAAAACTTTTGGGAATATTGCTAAAAGCAAGCTTTTTAATGTCATTGTTGAAGTTTAACATTATGCCACCTCGGATCGATTTATACAAACCTGTGGGGTTATATCATAATCGTTCATTACACCACGAATCATTTTTTAAAACTCAACATAAACACATAAGGATAAAGGAATAGAAAGAACGTGCGTATAAAATTTGAGAAAATTGTGTCTACTACATATTGAGAAATAGCATTAACAAAGTATCACTATTAAGAAATTGATATGGCCGTCTGGTGGCCATATTGTTCTAAACTAAGGACGAACAGGAATATAGATATGAAGTTTGGAAAATATCCGTTCAGTAGTTTTTGAGAAACAGCGATAACAAGAACTGTTAAAGGATGGATGATGGACATATTGGCGAAAGCAGATTTAATGACCCAAAATAGTGTAGATAATAGTGTAGCATAATAGTTATACCAATTTAAATGACAATGGCGACATCCCGAAGGCATGTCTCAAATTGTTGCTGGTATTTTTTACGAAGACAAGCGTTAGTGTTACCAAGGATGATTCCGGGTTAACAAAATCTTTCGTTACACACCAGCGCCAGAGTTGTATCCGAGTCTACCATCATATTGATGTTCAAACATTGTCGGCGGACACTTTACACTAAGGAAAATGAAACGCATAATTTGGGAAGTTTTTGAGGGAAACAATCATACAACTTGACGACTGATAAAAAAATGGTTCGTATCCGAAATAAAGAGTGTCAATAACCGTCATCGAAACTAGTTTTCTTATGACAGAATTGAACTTTTATATAAGTTTTAAACAATTGCGACAATGGAATCAGTTTGAATCAGTTCATTCCGAGTCAAAGAGTCAACAAAACTGACCAGGTTCTAGTTTAATTCATATTTTATTACGTTCACATTAATTTTAGTTATACCCATTTGTCTGTACATAATATTTACACTGTATGACACCATACACGCTCTTTTGTACACTATATATACATATATGATTAAAAATCCTCACTGGATTGATAAATCTTTAAACACTTACTCCTTCACACATATACACACGTTTGGTATACAAACCAAACAGTATACACTAAAACCTATTTATATAAGTTACTAACACACGAAATCGCTTCTTCCACATTTTCAGCCATTCATTTTATCTGCAGTCAATCGTTATTTACATATCTTCTTGTGAAATGGGACCAAGTCTCCTCGCACCGTACGCAATGGTTACTCAATCATTTATTTTTACACAAAAAAAGAGACTTTAGAACAAAGTGAATTGGTGATTAGTCTAACGTTTAATACTTGTTCATACAAATATATCACACTACCGTAGATTTAATCGGGCTGTAACGTGTTATTCCGTCTTTGCGTATTGCAGAATTATCTTCTCTTGTGAGCAGGTATTGATTATTACATCATTGGTTTGTGAGAGTAACGTCATCAATTTTTGAGAAAACGACGTAATTTTCTCACATAAACCAATGACGTAACAATCAATACCTGCTCACAAGGGAAGACAACTCTGCAATATGCAAAGACGGAATAGGTATAATGATCGGAGGAATTTTATTCAACACGGTAACAGGGAGGAGGAAACGTAAAACGTACAGAAGTGGATGTTATAAATAAATTTTGAAAAAAAATGCTGATCATATTGTCAACTTCGAACTCAAAAGTTTAATGGGAATAGAAGAGAAACAAATCCAAACGGAAAGACACCATGCTTCCTACCAATAACGGAGAGGTATCATCCGATCCCATCTTAAATTAAAGACAAATTCTATTGAAACAAACTCCGAATTATTATGCTAGCGGGTCTTTGATGGAAACTGAGAACTACGATAGATATCTTTGAACCATTACTTTTATAGTAGCAATTTTAAGAAAAGACAATGCAAATGGATGACAGAAATTACTGCGAGCATCTGGAGAAAACATTCAAAAATTCAATCATATGCGACAATATTGCGGGTATGCATTAATTATAAGTATATAATGAATACATGTATGTATATGACAATAAATAAATACAAAATACTATCATCTACAAAGGATCCCCCAAGCTAACGGAATTTCTTTGAACAAGAAATTCTACAAGAGTTACCGTCCAATGCAATACTGTAAACAGCCACTTTCAAATGAGCACTATATCACTATATTAAGCGAAATATTCCTCCGATTAAAAACGATTTACTTTCAATTACGTCCCAAATGCATAATGTCATTAAAATATCCAAACAAGGCAAAGTGAGTGAGCAATCCATAGTCCTCCTCCCGTGATAGACTGCAGCCATTACAGTAACAGTACTGTTATTCAGAGTTGCAATTAAAAGAAACAAATGGAAAATGGAAGCAAGCTATAGTCTCCAACCTACCGGACAGACTTCGCTATTAAAAATGAACAAAAGGCCGAAACTCCGTGTAAATGGGGCATGGAAGCATATTTGAGTAGGCGACACTTCCTTCTCCTCTTTAGAAGCATTTGTATGAAAACGTTTTATATTTGTAGGTGATTAATAAACCGGACAAAATTTAGTACAAGGCCTGGACAAAGTGGCGCATTGAAACGGTAGGTCATCATTCTAAATCTCTATATAAGTAGGGGCACCAGGCCCTATTTCAGATCGCCACAATCCACCATCTGATGATCTTTAATACAACAAAAATGTCATTTGTATGGAAGAGGCTATACTATGCTCACGCCGACGGACTGTGCGCCCATTTTTCGTCCCTTCCGGTACCGGTTGAAGGGGCTAATAACAAGGCTGTATATAGAGCTTCACACTCACTGCTTTAAACTATTTATGTATACCTCTTACTGAAACCTAGTGCCACAAAGAGTAATTTTCGTGTGATTTTAGTACATGCATGTGTGGGGAATGTTACGAAGAATTGTTCATATACACAAATTAATTATATTCAAATAAATTCCTACATAATACCCATATTAACATATTTACTATTTTTTTTTCATACATTTGAACCTTTTTGTAACATACAAATATAAGCATGGAAGTCGGCTTTCGTCGTGTTATCAATGGCAGACATTGTAGTCTATCACCTGTTCAATGTTGTCAAGTACTCCACATTTTGCCCAGTGTTTTACATGAAGGTGTGAACCTTCAGTGGAACTTTGGATTATTCCGGACGTTTGTTCTGGTTAAAATAATCAGAATACAACACATTTTCCTATAATAACTTAACTTATCAAAGATATATAGCGTTTGGAGAGATACTGTAATTAAGAGGTAATTAACTGACTTTTGACTGCTAAAGTAACTGTTTGTCTCTGTAGCTACACGAATCACACCCATTCTACTCTGTCATTATAAATATACTGTTCTACGTTTACAAAGTAACTTAATGTTAAACACAAAATGAAATATACCACATTCTTATTTGGTATACATATTTGTATACCTTAAATTTATACAAATACTGCACAAGTAAAGTTTTAATAAAAAGATTCCAACTTAAAAGTTAAAAACACATTAATCACAGTTCCGCTCCGAACACACTTTACTTAGCATAGAATGCTGATCAGAGAATCAAACTCAATATGAGCATACCTTACAGTCAGGATCCACACTCACACATCACAAGTACAGGAAATTCTCACAGTAGACAATTTATGAACATTTCTGTAACAAAACGGTTTTCTTTACTTCATTCTATTTTCGAATTCTGAACATTGGCCGACTTGGAGAATTTTACGAGTTGCTGTACCAATAGCTATTATCATCCATACTTCATCCGTAACAACACACACCCTTAAATCACTTCCATATATACTGATAGATTTTACACAAAGCCTGAAACTTATAGAATGATATGGATTTGAACAAATGTACATTACATTACACTGGCATTACTTTTCCACAATGAAAGTATGCCTAGAACAATGGTTTTTCCTAAAGTATATATTCACCGTTGTTTCACAAACTGTACAATAATATGCTTTCATACCACAGAGGTCAGCCTTCACGCATTTCAGTGCCATACCTTATGTACCTCAATCTCAAAGCTTATAGGACCAATAAAGGAAAAAAATGAATCATAAATATCTGAAACAAAAAAAATATAACAATTCATACAAAACCTTAATTCTGTGAACACATTTGTTACAGAATCAAGTCACAACTTAAAACGTTTACATATAATGAAGCACTATTTTGTGCAAATCCTCATAACATCTTTTATTGCTCCGTCTGTCCTAGCAATACTTCTTCTTTCTGCTTGGGGACTTCTCTATGGCGCCATGTTTCTGTTTACAATGTAAATTAGGGGACTATTTAAACTGAAACACTAGGTACAATGTACACCACACACTGTCTCTGTTCATACAGGAACATAGATCAAACGCCCTACACCTGCAACTCGGCTCCAGCCATCAGTTTGTAGACGTACAACATTGGCACTGATAGGGGAGCATGTATTGTTTGGATGTACTTCTGGGATGTACTTCTGTACATCCAAACAATACATGTTCCCCTATCTTCCTATCTATCTGTCTCCTGCCATTTTTTATCAAGACATGACATGAAAGACCTTTGATACAGCCAAATCCTCACCAGGATATACTAGTCATCTATCCATTGTCCCCTCACAACTGACCTGCTGCCCCCCTTCCTTTACTACTCCGAACATATTTTACTTTAATATGTGAAAATCGTACAAAACAAAATGGATTGATATATGTATTATTAGTCATGGTTAAATGAAATTGAGTAAAATTTAGTGCCACAATACAATATATCATGGTCACTAATGAGTTTTATGAGTTGTGCAACTTATTCAGATTGTGTGGTTCATATCTCAAAAACACTTTTTGTCAGCATTTTTTTTAGCAATAACACTGTATTCTCTGAGAATTACACATTTGTTTGAATATACAGTTTAGATATTGATGTACTTTCTGATAGTTTTGAAAATACACAAGATTAATGTATGAAACAAGTTACAAAGCAATTAAGACCCTCCCATTCACATCTCTTTATAGAACCATACAGTACCTGTTGACCTTTGACTGGTTTTACGACCGCTTGGCTACCGAGTAATTCGGTTCAGGCAATACATTTATACTGACCCCCAAAACAGAGGACAACTCTAAAAGCACCAGGGAAACTTCAAACCTGGATCAATATATCACTAGTTTTACTTTAGCTTTGTTTTGTGCCTGATCTTACTCCATTATTCGAACATTGAATACAAAAATAGAGCATTTTTATACTGTTAGATTACAATGTGTAACTTCTTTCATTAAACCAATATTTTGCTAAGTATAAAAAAATGAATTAATTAATGATGAGGCTTTATTTTGTTGGGTCCGATTTTTTCTTTGACCCTATTTGTAGGGTTTTAATTTAAAAAATAATCAATACTCCCCTTTCGCTCTCTATGAGAACGAAAACAATTCTGCAAATTTGGTATATAATTTTAGCTGTGAATATAGCAAAAAATAAAACCTCTGCAAATGTATAGTTAAAGTCATTAAATTAATTAATACGATTGTGTCCTCTTCTTGTCCATCCCGTTGGCAATCCCCTCATAACAGGACCGCAGGGACTAAATGAGGGACACATACATATCCTCCTTGGAATTTACAATTATTGTGATAACAAAACTAACCCGTCAGTGAAACGCATACAGCAATAAAACTATTGTACACGTAGCTATGACACTAGCTATGATTATCGTATCTCTCCTCTTACGCAGGTTCACCTTCTGCATCAGTGAATTTATCAATGGAAACCGATCTGATTGTTGAGTTAAGATCATCAAATATTGTATCATTTCGGAGCAATTTCAAATCCGTGAAATCTGTATTTACGTGTTTTATGATGTAGACAAATCATTTGTCCGATTTTCAGAACCTTTATTAATTTTTCCAGACAGGGTAAAGATTTACAGAAGGAAAATAAGGTCTTATGTAATACAAACAGCATTGTAAGTTGGGGAAAAACATGAATTTTCACAATGCAGTTATATAATTATGTTTAATACAGATAGTGAATAAAATGTAACATTTCACTAACAAAAACATTTTCTCTAAATTACCCGGACTAATACAGAAATTGATCATACTGGTTTGTACAAAGGATACTAGCTACTGTATTCATTCTTTGTGAAATGCTCGACAACATTTTCTTCTGTGATCCCATGTTATCCTTTGTCATCATTGCTACACTGATTTGTTCATCTATCATCCTCTCCGAACTGAAAAATAGAAAAAAAAATATCCATTAAACATGCGATAATATATCTGTGAATTGTTTCCCTGATAAATTTTGATAATTTTGATTTGTTGATGGGTTGATAGGTTTGACTTTTTTATTTTTGCCGTCATATTTCTCTGAATATCTGACATCCAGATTTCAATTATATCACACAATTATAAACCAATGAATAGACAAAAGAAACATGAATATTGGTAATTTTTAGAATTCAAACTCATACTTACTTTCGTATGTGGTCATGCTCTTTGAGATATAGTTCTGATCTTCGGTTTAAACCAGATGAATTTTTATATGCACTGTAAATATATATATATATATATGCATATATCATACCAGTTATCAAACCGAGAGAAAATAACTCATTCATCCCTGTAGACACATTTGAACTCTTCCAATTCAAAGATTGGAATAGATCATTATGAAATTCCAGGGGTGAATGAGTTAGATAATTATGAGATTACGATAACACATCCTTTAGTGCCATGTTTTTTTCCTGACCGGACCTGACCATTGCTTATATCTAATGTAACTACACACCATGGTTTAGACTGCTGTTCAGAAAACAATTTTGTACATACAGACTTTATGAAACAGTTAAGTCTACATAAGCACCAAAATGGTATACCTGTATCACATACACTATAGACAAATGATATAGATTGCAGAAATCAGATCTCTCCAAGGTTTGCTTAGCCCCTCTCGTCTTTAGAATAAATCATACATGTAGTAGGCTATATATAATGACAATGTCCCTTAGTAATGGAGCCAATTAGTACAAATAAAACACCATGTAATATCAAAGTTTTACTGTCTACACGAACAATTTACGTATTAAACATGTCGCACCGTATGTATACGCTCCCTATCCATAGGCGAAACGTCCCGGGTCAAGTGACATCAAAAATATACAATTGTGTCACATCGTTGTAGAGGTAAAAAATACAAATCGCTCACTCAGTCAAAGCTTGACAAAGGGACCAGTCGGTCTTGAAACGTTGAGACATGTTTAATACGTACATTGTTTGTGCAGAAAGTGAAACTTTGATTTCACATGTTTCCAAGCTGATGAATCTTATTAAAGAAAATCAACTTAGAATTACACTTTGATGAAAAATAGGGAAGCTATCTGGTAGATATATTCAATATACAAAGGCATTCATATTTATTTTTGCAAAAGTTTTTACATTGTGTCTATGGAACACAAAACTTATATTGCTTATATATGCTTGTCTTAAAACGGGCATTACATCTCTTATATTTGGTAGAGTTACTTTAAACAGGTAGGGTTCCTATATATAAATAAATGGGTTTTATTATAGAGATGCATCTGTATGTTATTTTTGCAAACCCATGAAATATTGAACCAATATAGAGATAAAAATATAAGCATAGCATTTCCTCTTAGATATTATATGACAATAGATAATTTAGTTATATCACAATTGTAGCAAAGAACATTTTCTAAACTCGCACTCAACATTGAATGTGTATTATATTTAAACACCAGCCGCATCAATCAGAAAGCCTTTAATATTTATTGTTGGTGAAACAAGGTGCCCACACTGTCACTGGAAAAAATTTATTTCTATTTTATAACTGTCCCTTGTCATCTCTCTACAGCACAATCTACAATAAAACGTGTCTATATTTTCATTGTTCCTGATCATCTGTCTACAGTACCTGATGTCCCTTTGTACAGAACCCATGAGGTCCTCTCGTTCTCGTATTGCTGTGATGTTGGCCTTGGTTTTCTGGAACTCGTGTGTGTAGTCCTGTAAGATGTCTCTATGTCGCTGTAGCGTGTGGAGGAGAGCTGCACTCGGTGAACTCATACTGATGTTCTGTGTGTAGTCGGCCATTCTGTCATTGATCTCTTGGAGCTGTATCATTAATTATATTAAAATCAGAAAATGGTAAAACTGGTGCTATATGATTCTTCATGTTGTACTTCTGATGTTGAATAATGTTCAATTCCAAATTATTACGATCTTTGATATTCAATTTCTTTTGATGTATTTTATTCTTTAAAGAATGCTATTTTGTCTTTATTAAAATAAATTCAACAAATTTGAATTCCAATGTTACTAGTCTCTGCTCCAGTACAGTTTTGCATGCTATCAGACTTGATTCCAGATATTTTATCAGTTATATGCTAGTACTCCAGTCTCCAATTACTCTGTATACCGGAAACTTTCAGCCAATCAAACCTTTGCCCATGGCCCAGTAGAATCTGTACTCACCAAGTGTTAATTTCACATTTTATTAGCATTATTGTTAACTTATGCTTGCTGCAATGATAAATTCACCCAATGATGGAGGGCGAAAATGGCAACAGTAAAACTCACTGAAATTTTCCTGGTATAAAATATCATTTGTCCAAATAGACTGTTTCCCTCCAAATTACAGTTTCATTTAAGCAGTAACATTCCGTTTATATATTGTGTTACATATGTATTTATGAATTTTATAAATTCAACCATAATATGTAAATACAATGCACAACTTATTTTATCATCAGTATTTAAGGATATCCACAACATACATCCATAGGAATATATAAATGCCATGGGGTTTTGTATCTTAAATTATTGTTATGCAAAATACACATTTGTTCAATCACAGACTTTGCCATACCATCAATATACAGGTAACTTTGCCATACCATCAATATACAGGTAAACTGTTATTTTCCTTACCTTGGATACCAGCTGTTCAATTTCCATTGCCATGGTTTCAAACATATGTTCACTACTTGTTTTATTGATGAGAGGTGCAGATTCACTGAAACCAAGTTGGAACACAAATAAAGTTTGCAATTTTACTAATATCATGACTGCATAATGTATTTCATTCCAATATAACAATGTAAGGCCTAAGATGCCCCAGTTCTGTCAGAGAAAAATATCCACTTTTTAAGAGCATATTGCTGTGTATAGAATCAAGATGTTTTTCTTCATAAAACCAGCATTAAATTAGTTTTTAATTAAAGAATGTTAAATATCTTGAACCAAGAGTCACTAGTGGTTAAAACAAATAAGTCATACAACATTTTGTTTTAGAGATGTTTTCCAGCTGATTTTTAGCATATCTTCTGTATTTAAATGATATCAAGCATTATGGCTGTTTTTCCAAGAACAAAAAAAGTTATGAACTTTCCATAAATACCTGATAATACCAGTGATTGAAACATCTTCAGATAAGAGTTAAAACAATAAATATAATCTAAGACTTAATTTTGACCCAATATATATGCTGCTGCATTGTCAAACTAGCATTCATCATTTAAATGGAAAACATAAACGGTATGGTTTTAGATGTTTACATCGACTATACATGTAAGGCAAGGAAATAGTAGCAGACCCTTGATTTGAAAATAGACTAATCCTATACCACACAAAGAAAGCATGTGCCTTTGGTTTGCTTACAGTCTGTTGGGATGAGATTTTGAAGCAGATCAAAACACAACGAAATGTGTTGATGGTATTTATCTCTTTTATTTCTGAAGACATGCAAAAAACTGCATGACTGTGATTGTCACTAAGACTTACCATATTTATCCTGCAATAAGCCCAGGGGGCCAACACATAATCTCTGACTGAAAGTAGGGGGGTGGGCTTATTAAAGGACAATGACAAATATCTGGTTGGCAGTTCATTCTAATTACAATATGTGTTGGAGGGCAGTTCATTCTAATTACAATATGTATTGGTGGGCTTATAACCAAGCATGGGCCTATTGCCAGAAATTACAGTAGTGTATGTAGTACATGTAACACCAAAACCATCAGAAACCCACCTCTGGATTGTTGTTGGCACCAGGCTGGACCACACATTACATATTCTGATCTGATCAAAGTTACTTATTGGTAGCGGTACAAGATTCTATTTTTGTGAAATTGAGATGTTTTTCCCTGGGTTTTTTTTTTGAAAAGGTGAATTGATCAGTTGTTTGCAGCATCAAAGCTCTATTTCAAGCAAAAGCTTATCATGAGGTTATTTTGCCCTTCAAACCATACATGCAACGGAATAGATTAAATTGTACATCACATTCACATGTTGTAAAAAATACATCAGTTTAAAATAATTCAATGACTGAAAAAGTATATCATTGATTCAATTTGCATCTACAGAGCTTGATTTCAAATCTACTGATACGTGTACCCAAAACATGCACCAAACCATACATGCAGACCAAAGACAAAATCAAAGTTTGTCTAATTGTCACAAATGAAGAAAACTGACTTTTTTTACGATGTTCAAACATATTTTTATATTATTATAACACATATTATTAAGATTGCTATGTTTAATCATGGTTCACATATATTGGAACAGTTTGTAATCACACTAATCTGCACTCTTACTTTGGATCAAATAATCTGTCTATACCCTTTCTGTAAAGACCACCCAAGGGAGACAACCAAAACATGATTCATGGTGTTTAAATGACTGTTCTCTATTTCATTAGCCTTTATATACAGACTAAATGCACAATACACTGATATCTATTACGTAATATTAATGGAGTTTCTCTGGCTTCTCCGATTTCCTTACATACTAAGACCCCGGTTAGTTTCCATTGGGCAAAGGAGCATGATTAATTGACAGACTTGTTTCACAATTGTTGCAAAATAAAAAGCGAAATTTTTAAAATATATTTTTGAGTAAGTATGGTGTTTAATGGTGTTACACCAAACTACACTGGAGTGCTGATGTAGTGGATGAACACAACTATTATGCATTCAGTGTCTGCAACATATATATTCAAATGAAAAAAATGAGTGTATTTTAGTATGACTTGAATACTAATGTGTTATGATAAAGATCTACCTGTTTTACTTTAAGGCTGCCTAATTAGCTTGTCTAGGGCCTGATCAGAATAACAACTCTAAATTTAAATCTTGTATACTTTTAAAAAGATTGAAATTAAACATTAAAAATATGTACACAGGAATTCAAAACAATTACCTGAAGACAATAAGTTCAAGAATATTTGTAAATTTCTTGATATTTATCAGAATTTAAACTTAATAATTTGTCGACGACTGATTAATTTAGGGATTTAAGCTGATACAGATATGAGCAGCCGCGGATATAAGGTTGTGTAGTGACTGCAGGTAAGTGTTTGCTGGTGTGTATAAGGATCCCTGTTCCACTGCCAAAAAATTTAACTTTTCATTTGAAACCATTTTTCCGATATGGCTATAGCTTTGATAAATAATTTCTGGGAAAAAAAATGCAACATATTTTTGTAATTTTAGTGGATAAATAATAAAGATTAAATATACAAACAATTATCACCAATAGCATTCTGAGCGTAAAAATATAACAGGGGCAGACTCGAACCCCAACGCTCTGATCCTTCTGAGTGTAAAAATATAACAGGGGCAGACTCGAACCCCAACGCTCTGATAATTTTGAGTGTAAAAACATAACAGGGGCAGATTTGAAACTCAAAGCTCTGATCATTCTGAGTGTAAAAATATAATAGGGCCAGACTCGAACCCCAACGCTCTGATCATTCTGAGTGTAAAAATATAATAGGGCCAGACTCGAACCCCAACGCTCTGATCATTCTGAGTGTAAAAATATAATAGGGCCAGACTCGAAACTCAAAGCTCTGAACATTCTAATCTAATCAATCTAACTCTCTAACCAATTGTGATAAATAGTTATTCACCTGGTAGTACCCTGGCTCACTCATGCTACAGTTCTATCAAAGTCAAAATTAAGGGGAGGTCACTGTACGTACGAAAGTTAAAGTGGAATTCTCTAATGTTTTATCTGCAGTTGGACAGGGATCCTTTTTTCAAGTGATTTTTGTAATTTTACAAATGACCTTTGATGGAAATTCTTACGACATTGCCTTTTATCAAATATTGATTGCTTTTTTTAATCTATCTTTGACAAATACCATCCCAGTTTAACAAACAATCAGTTGCACTACTGTTTGCAGTGCGAAAATGATTAATCCCTAGCAAAGATGATTACCAATCAAAATTCTTTGAAACACCTATTGCACAGTCAAATTGTGCCAGTCAAGTCAGTGTGTAACTGGTCATGAAGGGAAATTGAAAGAACTTCAATGGGACACCGTGTTATCTTTTCTATATATTTTTTTAATTCAAATTTTCTTTATCGATTTTCTTACTACTTCACCTCTTTTCATATCTTCTCTATTCTTTAATAGTTTCCAACACCACATTCTGACATTTAAATAATAACTGAACTGAAGGGAAGCAAGCAGGGGATATAAAGGTCCGACATCTCACTATACATTGAAAGACCTTGAAGACATTCCTTGTAATAGAAGTCCTACCTCTGACTCTGTGTTCCGTCACCAGGCACGCTTGTTAAACAACAAATAAAAAATGTGCCTATCTATTATCTGCACCATGTACTTTTTTTCATTTTCCTTTAAGAACTCATTTGTTTACCATAATTAATCTATCGAGCTTTCAACTTTTATTTTCATACCAAATATTAAAAACTTATCAAAGTTACTTTCTCTCAAATTCTGACTACTGTAAAAGCATTCCTTTATTTCGTGGATTTATCAATTACATTCCCAACGAAATTTAAACACATGAAATATAAACTAAACGAAAATATTACATAAAGTATTCATTTTATCCATGGTGTATTTACCTGGTATATTTTATATTTAGACACAAGTCATGATTAACGCTGTTATTATTGTCACAGGCACAGAAACACTTATAACAACAGCGCGTCAATCAATCGTTATATTTGTAACACAGTTATTGTTACACAGGTAACGTCAGCATCGTAAGAACTACTGACAAGGTAATGTACATTATGTGTACAACACTCTTTGTATATAAGCTATAGAACGTGACAGATTTGACCAATACCCATTGAGTGAGTAAATCTCACCCGATCTTACTTGTATTATATTTACATATTGTACCTGCACTGTCGTCACGTCTGTCAATTTAAACTTATTACTTTCCAGAAAAATAGAGGGTTTTAAAATATCGATTCCGAAATATATTTTATCCAAACCAATTTGTCCTCATACAAAAACAATGAAATTTAACCCCAACGAAAATATATGCTTTTACAGTATTCAAATTGTACACAACTGCTAAATTTTTCAGCAAGTTGAATTAAAGGAAACAACAATATCATCACGTATAATTTAATTGCAAAGAAGATTGAACTAATTAACCAATCGTTTATTTAACAGTTGGTACATGTACTGTATAACATGAAACAGTCACTGTGTATTTACTTCCGTGGTTTTCGTGGTTGAGTTTCTGAGGTTGAAGTTGTACTGTGATTAATACATATTAGTTAAGAGAATATATTAACAACTGAACAAGCCAAAGTTAAAATATACCAACAGGCCGCAAAAGTTTACCGGGTATATTAATAGAATAATTTGTAAACAAAAAACCTCTCAACAAAATATTGATACAAACTGTCACAAAAATATAACGTACATTTTATAAGGAGAAAATTGTGGTTATTATACATGCAAAGATATACATAAACCTTATTACTGCAGTAACATATTACCTAACTATTATTTCCTGAATTCAACTAGGACTATGTGAAACATTTAACTTTTTAGACTAAAAGGTTTTTTTCCATCATCCAATGTAACATACTGCATATATTGTCAGACCAAAACCAAAAGTCTGAAATTCATGATTTGCTCAATAATATTGAAAATAGCCTCAAATCGACAATAGTTCAAAACAGTTGAAACAGTTTTTACTGTCTCAGTCAATCAGATGCCATCTTGAATACCGAAATTTAAAAAATCTGCCTCTTGATATACATGTAAATTAAATGTATATATATATTCCTCTATGTATCACTACCAGAAAGTTTCAGTGTAATTTTTCACATTATTTTAAGAAACTTTGTCCAGACAGGGCTTGAAGTGACTAGAATTTTTTTATTAAAATGAAATCATAAATGTTAGGTATGCACCTACAGATATACCAATAATACATATACTGGTATACAAATTATTGTTGTACAAGCTGCACGCTGATCCAGTATACATCCTGGCTACCTCCCCTAACTTCATTGCCAGAGGTTTAATTAGTACAATTTTAGAATAGTAATCACCTGGTTGGAGAGATAGCTCACAACTTGATACAATTTCTTCATATGTGTTGTATATGTAATACTTTTCAATATGAGATACAAAACAACTAGAAAATCATAAAACCTGTTTGCTTTAAACTTCTATAATAATAGGAACTGACCAAACTTAAGCCATTATTTTTTCTCTAGCTTGCAGTTTGTTAAACAAAACAGATGTGTTTTTCTAAGAATAAACTTTAAAATGTTGACATCATATATTATATTTATGAAATTAAGTGATTAATTGAGTTACCTTCCAAATTCATTGTGAGCGGAGTAGTTTGTCCCTAGCTTGCTGAATGAGACCAACTTCAAATCAATTTCATTTTCCAACTGCCGAGCCTGTTTACGAAGATCTGCAAAGAAAACAGAAATCACAAACCTGTAACATGCGTACAATGATGTAACTATTTGTATTATACATCATATTAAACACACCTCATTCTTAAAGCTTTAGTGTAATCAATATTGTGCCTTACTGTACATGTCGGGTATGTCTAAATAATGGCACCTATTCAGCAGCAGCATTTTGAAATTGGTGGCAATAACTATCTGACCGGTGGAAATGGAACATACTGATTTATCATAGAAGAGGTAAGATTTTTAACAATATTTCCAGTTGTGCTTGCTGGGGAGTGGGGGTGTTGTTGTTCTTGATATTGAGTTTTTTTAGAAAGTTTGGGGTGAATGAGGAGGGATAATGTCAATTAATTTAGAGTGGCGAAATTCCATAAACAGAATATCAAAACATAATAGCTCTCTTTTAAATGCTGGCATTATTATGCTGGATTAATATGGTTATTCTGCTGTTTATTGAGGGAAAGATCCACTGGGAGTTGATCCTTACTTAAAAGTCTTAAGAAAATAACTTGTTTTACTGTTTCCTTTTGTCAATATTTGGATTAAAAAGAAAACACATTAATGAAAAATGTTAATTTTCCATCTGATTTTGTAAGTCGCAATTCAAATTCTGTGGTGTCTAGCTCTGCTTACCAAAAGATATATAGCTGTCATGTGTTTTGGATGGTATGGCTATTCTATAAGCACCGATATCAATATTATGAATTTCCTGGACTATTCCTAGCAAATGTAAGTACACCTCATGTAAAACACACAGTTGTCAAAAAGTAGAATACTTTTATGAAAAAGTTTGGACAGTAATGGTATCACATTATACATCATGCGCTGTAAATAGGCAGGCCCTGGGCATATAATGACATCGTTTAATGATGATAAAACAGAATCATTGTAAAGTGACTGCAAACAGATTGCCAAGATGAAATAAAAGGTTAAACACTGATGGCAAACAATGTGAAGCACACTTTGGCAATTTCTACCTTGAAACTGGTCACACGTGCTTCAATTACTGTATAGCATCAATTTGGTGTATCCTGTATCAGGTCAATTCACTCTAAATCCTGGTCGCCCTATAGGTAACCTTGTGCTAGGCTGTTTTGCTCTAATATTATTTTAATCAGAGTAACTTTTTCCGGCCTGTTTAGTATGGTTACTACAATCTCATTAAAAAAAATGTTAGCCTTCCTCAGTCTTTTTTGGTCATTAGACTTAAGCTTGTTAGACCCTTACATCATCATTAGACTTAAGCTTGTTAGACCCTTACATCATCAACAAGATCTACACACTGTACACATGAAATTCTTCTGACAACACAATTATCCTCAAACATTAGGCGAACTTGACTTAGGGTGAAACAGGATTTAGGGCAAAAAGACCTGAATCTGTTGTATCCAATGTGATTTCATGTTAAAAACTAAATGAAATAAACTTTCTCTGAAGATGGTAACAGGATGATGTGTTTGATATATAGATATCACAAGATATTAACTTTAATATGGACACTTCATACATCCTCTTGTAACAGGATTCCACCAGGAATCGAACCAGCGATCCCTGGTTTATCGGTCCTTCACTTTACCTGGTGGGATAAAGGATATAACCCCCTAGCTGATCAAATGTACAATGTAGCATTGGGCCTGCCACAATCATAAATGTGACAGATGTCGTTATAATCCTTGACAACTATTCACAAAATCGATATCAATACAAATATACTAATAATCATTACCTCAAATGGATGTTTCAATATATATTTGACTTATACTGATATTCATTGGCAATAGCTAAAGATTATATAATACGTGACACTAACAACCTATTAAGAAATGTGTCGTAGTTTTGTTTTCAATGCGTCAAATCTCGTCCGTCAATGATATCGGTGAAGTGATAAATGTGTTTTTGTTTAGTTTAACGTTGAAAAAAATATGTTATTTTGCTATAAACATGAACATAAACCCGTTAAAATGGTATAGACACATTGATATATCCATGGAGAGTCGTCATAGTGTAGGAATCAAAATTAACTTTGTGACATAAGTGCGTACCTTCCCAAAAGTTCCCCATGTCGGCCATGTTAGTTCCACGGTGTCGGACTCTCGCGAGAATATTTCTAATAAATGATCACCTTTTATTCACCCCGACAATCACAGTGATATGGTTTTTGCTAAAATATTTTTAACGGTCAGTAATAGAAAAAATATTATTTTATTAACATTTTTTAATTTTATTTTCAGGTGCGTTCGATAGACATGTTTTCAGTACGAAAGAGTTTGCTCCCTTGTAGTAACCAGGAAGTCGACTGTCAACAAATTAAATGCACCATCATTTGAGAGTAACATTAAACTTGTTTATGTGTTAAAGACCGCTGTGTTCATGCTTACTCGTCAAACTATTCATAATGTAAGTATCAATGTAAGCTGTATCTTGCAACAATATGTATAAATGTATATGTATTGCACTTCAGTACTCAACGTGATGTTATAAGTTAATGTACAGTACAGGATTAGACAACCCTCTCCCCCGGGCTAAAAAACCCATACAATACATAGTACGAAACAACAACAGTGATTGCATTGTACATTGTAATATCACGGACTTATTCCGTGGTCATATGCATTTATAGACTGTCGAGTTCTGTTGATGTTAATAGTTCAGCTGCTCCAGTATACTATCTTGGTTCTCCCAACACTATCCAATCTATTTTAAAACAGTTTCTAGCAGGTTGTCAGATAGCGTATTACGTTAACGTGTATAGCTCTCACAGTGAAACACTTTCCCCTAGATGTTGAATTTGACCTTCGTGTGGAAAAAAATGAATCCCCTCTTACATTTTGTTTTGCAGTTAAATCTTACCACAATTTAAACACCACTGATCATTTCATAGAATTAAATCACATGTACAACACATAAGTCTATATGATAAACAGGAAGATTAAGTGTTTAAGGCTATCTTCATATGAGTTTTTCAGTCAAGGTCAGCATTTTGTGGCTCTACGTTGTACATTTCAATTAAGTCAATATATTTATATTTATAAGGAGACCATACTGCGCTTTCATAATCAAGTTGAGATCGGGCAAGACATTGTATAAAGGGAAAAATAGTATAACTATCTGGTATATCATTGGACTTTAAAATGTGCAAGTGCTTGCATTTATACGAGTGCATATTTAGAAGCCAATCCTCACTCTATTTGCACATTTAATCTAAGTTTTATTGGAATGTTTTATAATCTTCTTCCTTTGTAATTTACTTTGAAGATATTAAATTGTCCGAAAAGATACCCATTTCAAATTCCGCTGAGCTTGGAAGATCATTAATAGAAAAAAGAAAAAAAAATAGAAGTAGGCCCAAAATGGATCCTTGTCGTATGATGGGAGTAGTTTCTGTCCACTCCGAATCCTCTCCGTTCACAGTTGTATTTTGTTGTCGACTCGAAAGAAAGCTGGATATCCATGAAATTGGTTGGCTGGTAAATTTGTATAGACGTACCTTAATGATGAGACGCAAACGAGGAACAGTGCCGAATGTTTTCAGTGCGTTAATCTCAAACTACAAGTTACCAAGTAAGTTGAACTTCCAGGTATAAAAAAACATGTTTGGCTGTATGATATTAATTTGTCCGCATGTGCTTTGCGATGTGCTCTCTAAATCGCATTCCGAAGTTTTGCACACTGTCAAAGCAGGTAGGTGTAGTTAGGCAGCATACGTAGTTCTATAGTGAAAGGTAACTGTAAGGTAAAAGTAACATTCTGTGATTTTACAATCATTTGACAGGCCGATCTGAAATGAAAACGTCACTTTTAAATTGCAACACGTACAGTTCGATGTTCCCACTTTAAAACAGTGACAAAGAGGTATGGCGGAAAACTGCCCGTATTTCCCTAAGTCGGCATTTATGAAAACGGGGAAAAAAATTAAGGAGTAAAACATTTCGGGTAGCAAAAATGCATACAAAAGATACAAAACCAATTGAATATGAATTTTTAAACTGCTGAGAAATTAGGTATTGCTAATATGATACTGCAAATATAGCCATATACACTATATCTATGAAAGTGATGGGGTTTCCCGGACTTAAAAAATACTTTCAACACTTTCCCATCCGAGGACCAACTTTTGAATAAACTTTTTTGTGACCGTGATGTAATTTGCAAAAACAAATCGTATTACCCAAAAGTGGTCCTCCTTTGGGAAAGTGCTCAAAATAATGAAAAACAGGGGTGATCAAGTTTCTCTAAACTGCGACAGGTGTTTCTCGGGTTAAATAAGTTTGTAATTGCCAATATCTATATGTTCTATGTAGCCGAATGTGTAACGCAGTATACTTGCGACTAGAAAATAAACGGTGCAGATTCGAATCCTCTTTCAGTTAATTTTTTTTTTGAAATATTTAGGCATGTGATCATTTTCCTTAATAAGGCAATAGTGGGTTTTTTAAATCGATGGACAATTTTGTTTTCATTTTAATAACATACCTATTGATTTATCAGTTTTGTTAGTAATAATTTCTTTACTATTTAGTGCGACATACTTCTATCGAAGCATGTTAACAAATCCCTGTACACGTGTACGGTACAGCTACGCTTTGTAGGTAAGACTATTTTTGATAAAATTTATGAATTGTTTAACCCTCCAACTGGCAAAAGTAATTATATCAAGTGCTTAAGCACTAACAAATAATGCCGAAATACCAAATATGTGGTCTGTTTACAATAATCTATTCTTAGACACGGGATTCCAATATTGCTACCTGTATAAAAACACCTGAGGACGCGTCATAACAGTGCACGGTTGGATGCGCGTACTAGCGTAACATAGCTTTGGGGAAATAGGCATAGCAACCCGCCATATCTCTTTGCGGTTGGTTTTCTCAGTGCTTGAATTTACAACATTATACATAAGATTGTTCCATTCATTGACAAGTGAAAATGGCGCGTAGCTTTAAGAATTAAAAAATAATATTGTTATGAGTAGCGGAACTGGATTTGGTCGATCGCCGGCGAACAGGTAGCTCTACTGGAAGAGCGTCAGTCTAGAGTTCGAAGGGAACGTCAATGGTTAGAACCCCGGTCGGGCCTTGCATTTCTCTGCTCTTGTTAAAAAGTTGTCGAGCTTGCCAACCATTGTTTCAAGTATTGGGCGTACGCTGGCAAAGGTAAATAGTTTTGTCTTCGAGCGCGAAGACTTGGAAAGGACAGAGGAATGTAGCTGAACTGGACTGGGTCGATTGCCGGCGTCCAGGTACATTATAACTCGTTCGTCTAGAGTTCGGAGGGTCCCGGATTCGAACCCTGGTATTGCCGTGCGTTTTTCCGTGCCTGTTACATATGCTATATAAATATTATTAGTATTAAAATCGGCATCAAGTACTCAAGAATCTGAATACGTTATGCCGATAATTAGGCCTAGTAGTCGTTCTGAAAAATCCATGGTTTATTATAATGGTCAGAATCCTTGGACCGAAAATTTAATTGTAAAGATGCGATGAGCTCAGTTATAATTGTAAAAGGTATTTTTCACGTATCAAGCCAATCGTTGGTAGCGGAAATATGTTTCGTTTTTATTTAACGAACAACATTGGTTCCCTCATTTCGCAATTTCAATGTCAAAACAATTTGTTACCATTTTACACGCGTGGCCCCTGTATATAGACACATAAGGCGGCTTTGGTACGACTCTAATATAGGTGAAAGTGAGACCCTTAGCAATGTTTAGAACAATATATATGTGTCTAGCTCCGATGCTTTTCTCTTGTTTAAGAAAAAAAAAATGATTTCAATCCCTGAAAGGACAAACATCATCTGATTAAATGCATTTGATATTCAATAAATATGTCAGAATCTTCAATTATTTCTATGTTTTGTTTCAACAGGTCCGGCACTGAAGAGTTTTGGCTGCCATAGATGTGAACATACTCAATCATATTGAAATAAAATTGGCTAAAGAAGGGACAACCTCTTTGTGGATTTACTATGGCTGAAGCTGAGAATCAGGATCAACCACCGAGATCGAGTGTTTCCCCCTCACAGTTAGCAGAGCGTGATCAGAAAAACGCGGTAATAACATCAAAGATGAACGATGAACAGGAAGGGTGTATGAGGTCAGACACAGAGACCGCTCCAAGTACAGACGTACAGGTGTTCAGTATTCCTCAAATACCTATACAGACCACGCATCTAAACTTAACAATTGAAAAGCAAATATCAGAGAAAACCTTTTTAGATGGTGTACTTAAAGGATTCAAGTTCCTGAGAGAAGATGATTCGATGTGTGACGTCACACTGGTTGTTCAGGGAATGAAGTTCAAATGTCATAAAGTGATTCTTGCCACCTTTTCAGACTATTTCCGGACCCTATTTACAATAGAAATGAAAGAAGCGCGACAAGAAGAGATTCAGCTGGCTAGTTTTAGGAGCGAAACTATTCGAAAGATGATCATGTATATCTACAGAGGTTATGACGAGTTCACCGCTAGTAACGCCAGAGAATTGTTGGAGGCTGCTATATTTTTCAGAGTTGACTCCCTTAGATATATGTGCGAAACGGCGCTTTCATCAGTGTTAGATGTTCAAAATGTAATAGCCATTTGGCGAACTGCCAAACGTTTCCCGGAATGCAATGCCCTACGCCAAACATGTGAGGAATACTTGCTGCTTTATTTCGATCGTCTTAAAGAAGACGACATAAGGTGCCTGGATAAAGAGGAGCTGGTATTTCTCATATCTAATCCTAATCTGCTGGTATCAAGCGAAGACAAGGTATATCAGGCTGCAAAGATATGGTTTGAGGATGACGGAGACCTACGTAAACAGTACCTCGCCGATGTATTCCAGCATATTCGACAGCCATTTATATCAAAGGAACTTTATTCTGACTTCATGAATAATTTTAGATTCTTTGACGCACCTGCAATTAAACCATTCATTGAAGAAGCATTAAGATATCAAAGTCTTCCGAACTGTCGAATGGATGAAGTCTCAACCAGGACAACGCTTCGCCAGCACTACAACATGGAAAAAGCTCTTTTACTTATTGGGTTCAATCAGAGGTTCACGTGCTGCAATCCTTGTATGTGGGCTTGGCGGTTTGACTGTAAGCGGTGGTACACACTGAGATCGGCTCCATTTAAGCTAGGTCATGGTTATGCCACTTGCCGATTTGGGCAAAGTGAAATTTACTTCTCCGGGGGTCAGGGAAGGCGGATATTTCAGAAATTTGACGGACTGACTGACAAGATAGTGTCATGTACGAAGATCAAAACTGCTCGAATGAGTCACTGTATGGTGTGTGTTCGCGACTCCATATATATTATCGGTGGTAATGGCTTCCAGTTCGATAAGGAGGATACCATTCCAACAGAAGACAAATTGGAGAGTGTTGAGGCCTGGAGACCATCAGAGAACACGTGGAGACATTGTGGTAGCATTATGGTACCGGTATCCGGCGCGACTGCTTGCAATTCAGGACGGCTGATCTTGCTTTACGGAGGGTTCAGAGACGAACAGAATAAGGAACCTTCAAACCTGGCACAGTTTTTTGACACAGAAACAAACACAGGAGGACACCTTTCGACATATCTACCTTTCAGCCACCAAAACTTACAATCTGTGAATATTGGAGATGTGGTCTATATCCTCACCAAGAACCACATATTTGAAAGCAAAGACGAGTTAGAGTACATCAATGTTCGCTCTCTAAGAGAAAAACACAAATATGCCGATACTTTTAAACCTCCAACAATGACAAAAGATCTAACAAGTCTTTACATTATACAAGAAAGCTGCTACGGAACCATACCGTTTCCTATAGACAGATCATGGGAACTACAACGATACAATACAGGGACAAGAGCACTGGAAACAGTTTCCGACAAGATTCAATTTATGAGGTCTGAAGGGTCTATGCATACATTAGTAGTGTCAAAATCTATACTGCTTGAGAAGGGCATTATCACTACAGGTTCTCAAGGATTTCTAACCCAACGATGATATCGACACAAAATGGTATATTAAGTTAGCGGTTTGGTACATTTGTTACACCGGAATAACAATTAAGTAAGATATAGATCAACTGAGATTGTTTAAATTAGCAATATAACCTTAATGTGAGTTAACAGTATTTGGAGCTAACATTCAAATGAAAACGTTAAAAATCTTAAACGGTTAGCAATTGTGTACAAACACGTACTTTGTAAAACGTACTGTAAAAAGGAATGGTGACATCGTCAGCATACATACCATTTTCTCTCAGTCAGAAGGACATTGTATGGATGTAAAACAGTGTTATATAAGTAATACCACACGTCCGTTGTTATGTGACGTCACATAGTTTTTGTGCGGACTAAGACACGGTACATATATATATGAATATATGTTTTAGGTAATCTAGTGGTAGGACGCCGGGCTCGTGACCGAATGGTTGCGGGTTCGAGTCACGTCACGGTACTGTGTTGTATTTTTGAACAAGATACTTTACTCCGCTTGTTCCAGTGAGTTGAGAAAGATACAGGCTGGTTGCAAAGGCCCTATAACCACGGATAATAATTTGTGAACCGCTTTGAGACGACCTAGGAATTAGGTTGTTATAAAGTGATATAAGAACCTCGAACTATTATTATTATTTACGTCAGTATACTAAATGAGTTGTATGCGTAAATTCTTGTGAAGGAGTATGGGTGGTATTACATGATCATCTATTACATATACCTAAAATTGTTCTTTATATACAAAATATGTTTCATGTAAAATATTCCTCATCATTATTTGGGTTTTATGTTCAATTTGCTCCCGGAAGTCATGGATTGAGTCAGCCTGTCGTCACGATGCCACGCTACCACAGCGCAAAATTGCGCCAAAAGTATGTTACACAAAGAAATCAATCAGGTATGAAATCAAAATCTTTATTGCCAGTGAAGATGATGGTTTATGACATATAAAATAATGCGATAAAATATATACAGTGAAGTTTTCTTCAGTCCTTTCATCTCTTTTTGACTATTATCTTCGTTAAACTACTGACTTTTAAGTGATAACATTTTCGTTAATCTGGAAAAAATCTTGAGCACCTTTAATAATCATGCACGCTCTCCGGACTTACCAGAATTCATCTTAAAGTAACTACAATACTCCATTAGTTGCTGGCATGTATTAACCAGAGTATGGTGTATCAGTTTTTACTGGCGTAAATTAAAGTGCATCTGTATTGCCTGGCGTAAAGCGTATCCGTATTTACTGGCATAAAGTTTATTAAATATGTCTTAGTGTTATCACGTCATTACTGTATCTAGGTGTCGCGTCCTTATTTATGGTGCCCGTGACCATGGTGTTCACGAGGATGACGACAAACTAAAGTTGGAACTGTGGCGTGATGGACTACGTAGTCACTGACACTTCCCATCAAGGTCCTCCGTACCATGCCGGCTCCGCGACATCCGGTTACAATCATATGTGCGCCAAAGTCTTCCGCTGCCTTTATGATACCTCGACCAGGTTGATCAGCATGGATACTCTGGACAGTCCCTTGCACCTGTTGATTAGATTAACACGACATATACGTCATTTGAAATTAGCCATACATACGTCACTCCTCATTGTGTTATGCGTCAAACGTTTCTAGGTTATATCATACGTTATACCTGGGGCTGTAACGTCGGTACTATACGTATCACGATACTGTGGTCACGATATGATATGTATCCCGATACTGTGGTTACGATATGATATGTATCACGATACTGAGGTCACGATATGATGTGTATCACGATACTGTGGTCACGATATGATATGTCTCACGATATTGTGGTGACGATATGATGTGTATCACGATACAGTGGTCACGATATGATATGTATCACGATACTGTGGTCACGATAATCACGATAGTGTGGTCACGATATGATATGTATCACGATACTGTGGTCACGATATGATATGTATCACGATACTGTGGTCACGATATGATATGTATCACGATACTGTGGTCACGATATGATATGTATCACGATACTGTGGTCACGATATGATATGTATCACGATACTGTGGTCACGATATGATATGTATCACGATACTGTGGTCACGATATGATATGTATCACGATACTGTGGTCACGATATGATATGTATCACGATACTGTGGTCACGATATGATATGTATCACGATACTGTGGTCACGATATGATATGTATCACGATACTGTGGTCACGATATGATATGTATCACGATACTGTGGTCACGATATGATATGTATCACGATACTGTGGTCACGATATGATATGTATCACGATACTGTGGTCACGATATGATATGTATCACGATACTGTGGTCACGATATGATATGTCTCACGATACTGTGGTCACGATATGATGTGTATCACGATACTGTGGTCACGATATGATATGTATCACGATACTGTGGTCACGATATGATATGTATCACGATACTGTGGTCACGATAATTACGATACTGTGGTCACGATATGATATGCATCACGATACTGTGGTCACGATAATTACGATACTGTGGTAACGATAGGATATGTATCACGATACTGTGGTAACGATATGATATGTATCACGATACTGTGGTCACGATAATTACGATACTGTGGTCACGATAGGATATGTATCACGATACTGTGGTCACGATAGAAGTGGTTAAAAATAGGCATGACTTAGCACGTTTCGTATAATCCACGTGTCTCGACGTGCATACTAGAGCTTCACTCGCCACGTGGGCATGGATAGGATGAGACTAAATTCAGAAACGACAAAATCTGAAAAATATCGTAGGTGTATATCGTGACCTTCCAAAAAATATTGTGTATGGTACCGTTATCAAAATATCGCGATAGATCGTTGCAGCCCTATTTATACGTCATTGTCTCATATCAAAGGTTACACAATATAAATCGCGATTCATATAATGTACACACCTAGGGGAAATTATCTTCATTATTGAAAAGATACCTAACAAATGATACTGTTATAGGTCATAAGTCACATCACGTGCCATCAGATCTTGAACATTACACATACAAGTCACACATCATGTGCCAACAGATATCGGCGGACATCACACACAATAGGTCACACATCATGTGCCAACATATCTCGGACATCACACACGATAGGTCACGCATCATGTGCAAACAGATCTCAGACATCACACACCATACGTCACGCATCATGTGTCCACATATCTCGGACATCACACACCATAGGTCACGCATCATGTGTCAACAGATCGCAGACATCACACACCATAAGTCACGCATCATGTGTCAACAGATCTCGGACATGACACACCATAGGTCACGCATCATGTGTCAACAGATCTCGGACATCACACACCATAGGTCACACATAATGTGTCAACAGATCGCAGACATCACACACCATAAGTCACACATCATGTCCCAACAGATCTCTGACATCACACACCATAGGTCACGCATCGTGTGCCAACAGATCTCGGACATCACACACCATAAGTCACGCATCATGTCCCAACAGATCTTGGACATCACACACCATAAGTCACGCATCATGTCCCATCAGATCTCGGACATCACACACCATAAGTCACGCATCATGTGCCAACAGATCGCAGACATCACACACCATAAGTCACGCATCATGTGTCAACAGATCTCGGACATCACACACCATAGGTCACACATCATGTGTCAACAGATCTCGGACATCACACACCATAAGTCACACATCATGTCCCAACAGATCTCGGACATCACACACCATAAGTCACACATCATGTCCCAACAGATCTCGGAGATCACACACCATAGGTCACGCATCGTGTGCCAACAGATCTCGGAGATCACACACCATAGGTCACACATCATGTGTCAACAGATCGCTCGGACATCACACACCATAGGTCACACATCATGTGCCAACAGATCTCGGACATCACACACCATAAGTCACACAGCATGTCCCAACAGATCTCGGACATCACACACCATAGGTCACACATCATGTGTCAACAGATCGCAAACATCACACACCATAGGTCACACATCATGTGCCAACAGATCTCGGACATCACACACCATAGGTCACACATCATGTGCCAACAGATCTCGGACATCACACACCATAGGTCACATATCATTTGTCAACAGATCGCAGATATCACACACGAAAGGTCACGCATCGTGTCCCAACAGATCTCGGACATCACAAACCATAGGTCACGCATCATGTGTCAACAGATCGCAGACATCACACACCATAGGTCACACATCATGTCCCAACAGATCTCGGACATCACACATCATAGGTCACACATCATGTACCAACAGATCTCGGACATCACACACCATAAGTCACGCGTCATGTGCCAACAAATCTCGGACATCACACACCATAGGTCACGCATCATGTGCCAACAGATCTCGGACATCACACACCATAAGTCACGCATCGTGTCCCAACAGATCGCAGACATCACACACCCTAGGTCACGCATCATGTGCCAACAGATCTCGGACATCACACACCATCGGTCACGCATCGTGTCCCAACAGATTGCAGACATCACACACCATAGGTCACGCATCATGTGCCAACAGATCGCAGACATCACACACCATACGTCACACATCATGTCCCAACAAATTGCAGACATCACACATCATAGGTCACACATCATTGCCAACAGATCGCAGACATCACACACCATAAGTCACGCATCATGTCCCAACAGATTGCAGACATCACACACCATAGGTCACGCATCATTGCCAACAGATTGCAGACATCACACACCATAAGTCACGCATCATGTGCCAACAGATCTCATACATGATCGTTCCTTGTCTGACAATGAACATCAACAAAACAGAAAACAGTAAATGCACGCATTGATATAGATTTCAAACAACTGACGATTCTTGCATCACCTGTGCTTTAGGTGTATAACAACAAAAATACTTACTTCAGCGTCTTTTAAGATTTGTCCAATCCCTTCCAGTTTTTCTTTAAGTTTAGCTTTCTCATCTTCTAGAATTTTGTGGATAGTTTCGGAATTATGTGCTGTAAAGATCAAACAAAATTCATATACAGACCTACAACAAACAAGACTGAAAATAGCTTGATTGTAAGAGTTGACTATTGAAGGGTCCAGTATATAATTGACAAAGCTCTCACCAACAACCCAGGACGAGTTGCGCAACATTATCATGACCTCGCAATCGAAGTCCGGTGAGCTTGATCCACTGCCTACAGACCTATTAAAGCAATGTCTTGAAGCACTGCTTCCTTTAATTATCGCAATCATGAATAAATCATTGGTTGAGTCAAAGGTTCCATTATGTTTCAAGAAGACACATGTCAGACCATTTAAAAAAAGCCTGGAATGGACAAGGAGGAGTTGAAAAACTACCGCCCAGTTTCAAATCTGCCTTTTTTGTCTAAGATCTTGGAGAAGGTTGTGTCCCGTCGTTTAGAGGTTCATCTCCATGCAGACAGTCTCCATGACAACATGCAATCGGCCTACCGCATGGGACACTCTACTGAGACGGCCCTCCTACGTGAACATAGTGATATAGCTTCTGCATTGGATAACAAGTGCAGAGCGGTGCTTGTCATGCTGGACTTGTCAGCTGCATTTGACGTCATCGACCATGGCATACTTTATAAACGTCTGGAACACTCTTATGGAGTGTCTGATACCGCACTATGCTGGATACAGTCATACCTGAGTGAACAACGACAGTGTGTTGCCATCGGATCTGCCACCTCACATGACAAAGTACTAGTTTTCGGGGTTCCTCAAGGGTCGGTGTTAGGACCACGAAAATATTGTATGTACCCCAAACCGATTGGAGAGATTTGTCGTCGCCATAGCCTTCGCTATCATTGCTATGCTGATGACACACACATTTACATGGTCATAAAACCACAGGACAGTTGGAATAGTCTCAGAAAGTCTGGAAGCTTGTCTGACAGATATCAGTATCTGGATGAACGCCAACAGGCTTAAACTTAATCAGGAAAAGACGGAACTAATCGTCTTTTCCCCAAAGTGTCAGCAAGCAATGGCTCTCCAGCTCAAGGTTGGTGTCAGAACTATTGAGACTGTTGCAGCTGTTAAAAACCTAGGGGTATACTTTGACAGTTCTCTGAACATGGAAAAACAAGTGAACGCTATTGCCAAATCCTGTTACTACCAGATCAGGAACATCGGCTGTATTCGGCAGTTTCTAACTGCAGATGCATGCAAGATTTTGGTGCATTCACTTGTTACCTCTCGGTTGGATTATGGTAACGCCCTGCTCTGTGGTATATCTGACAAACTAACTAGTCGTCTGCCGAGGGTTCAGAACATTGCAGCACGGCTAGTTACTCGTACTCGAAAGAGAGAGGCTCTTCCGGTCACCCGTTGTCGTGGCATTGTTACTGGACGGATTGTCACGTACCATCTACCGGTGATGACATTTACGTAAGATGACACTTTCTCGGGACACTGTCTTTATCTGATCTTAGTTGTTGCAAGGATGTAAACCCCTAAACAAATAATCAATAAATGTACGTTCTGTATTCCGTAAATGCCGTGTCCGGACTAATGATGTATCACTATACTGTTAGCCAAGGGAAATATTGTAGAACTGTGTGAGCAATAACACATGTCAAGCAACCATTAGGCCGCTGCAGTAATGCGTATCGTTGTGTATTTATCAATATAACCACCAAACTATCGCCGCTCTGTTACACTATAATAACGCTTTTACAGCATCACCAAGGCAACAGCCAGATCGATTATAAGGTTTTCTTCTGTACACATTGGTTTACACTGAATCGTCCAGAATAGGTCTAGTGTTCCCGAAGCAATACATGGAGTTTTTCGTTCGGGATTTTTTTCTGGATTTGCCCGAAATAGTTACCGCTTCCCTCCTTGTAACTGTAGTTAATTTGTTGTCAAAGTAATACGGCCGATTAAGTGTCCATGGTGTAACATAAAGTGTGACGCCCTGCGACTTGGTTGTCATGGTGTCTACCCCGGGGTGCTCTTTGAGGACGTGACGCGACCTTGATTTGACCTATATTTACGTGGCGGGTGTCGTCATTAGGGCAACCTACCCTTCTGGAACACTCATGGTCTTATTCTCCTTCTGCTGTCTCAATTCCTTTACGTGTAAATCTATCTTTTGTTAACATTTCCCTGTTATTTCGATTTTTAGTTCGAGTAACGGTTTTGTTTTCAGTTCTGTATTCTCCCTTTCTTTTTCTATTTGCCAACCTGTCAGTTTTGTTAACAAATTAACTCCATAGGACACGGATGTGTAAATAATTTATAACTTTGTATGCTGTAAAATTAAAAACAATTACACATTTCAATAAAGCTGGCAAAAACATGGTAAAATGATACAAAAGAGCACGGAGAACTCCTGAAATCTCAACCATTCACACTATACCTGAACTACCGATCCTGTGACTAGCTACTACAGGTACGTACATGTACTTACTCGTATACCACTCTTTCTTGTGTAGCGAGTCGGGCAATCCTACCACGTGTACCATCACGATACTGAACTTCGGGTTGTGGATCTGCTCCATGTAATCTATAGTGAAAATCAATTCGAAACACATGTCATGTACAAACGGCAGTATTGTAAATAGCATTGTCTAGCGTAAATTGGTTTCCGGAACTCCAGTGTAAGTCGTTCTGTTAGTTCTCAAGCATTCCCGAAATTTGGAAATACATTTTACAGATGGGGTTCATTTTAGTACTATCTCAAATATGTGTTCTATATGTGTTTTATGAAGCCAGTTATGTGGTGGATGTTACTATCAATAATACGTATATTGATGTACATAGCAGTGTGTATTTGATGAACGTTTGATTTCTCCATTGTGTGTGACGACACCATGCATGTAGTCGATTTCTTCCTAAATCACCGCCTTGTACGGTTATCGTCTAGGCTCTGGCATGGGTATAAGACATCACTAGTATGACGTAAACACTTATTATACAGGTGGTAACACGGTCGCATCAGGATGAAAATAATTATCAAATGAAATATTTCAGCTACGTACGCAGACTCAAGAGTCGTATATGATCGTCTCGACTGTAACGAGTTAAACAAGATATTCACCTGAACATGGTTCCTTTTTATCTTTTCTGTTATTTATATTTATGTAGACTTGTATTACTAAGGTATCTCTCGTTTTATCATACACCATGGAAATCTTAAAGTATTTAAGTTGTCAAAAATATACTATTTACTAGGAAACCTATAGGAACATTTGCAGAAGTAAATGTTTGTTTACATGTAACTGTGGGGGTTGTCAATGTGAGTAGATTTCTGTTCGAGTGTCTCCTCCTTAAACAGTAAATGATACCGTGTACATAGCGTAGTATTTGATTGTTTGTCAGTGTTAAAGAGCGTACGATGTACTGCTTGTCTGAAAACGTTACACTGTCTTGTGATTATTATCTACTCATCCTACAGCGATGTACATACATTGTGGTATGGTATAGCATCCTTAACGGAAACATTACAGCTCTAGTCTTCAGTATCCAGTGGCGGATCCAGAGACCTATATTGGGTGGTTGGGTCCAAATTTCAAAGGGGGG